CCGTCTCTTAGAACCTCTCATTTCCTTTCCTTCGTGGAAATCTATCCTCAAGGAAATCACTTCTCAGTGTTCCATCTGCTATTCTACTACTCCTCAGGGATTATTCAGGCCCCCTGCCTTCCCTACACATCAAGCTCGGGGATTTGCCCCGGCCCAGGACTGGCAAATTGACTTTACTCACATGCCCCGAGCCAGGAAACTAAAATACCTCTTGGTCTGGGTAAACACTTTCACTGGATGGATAGAGGCCTTTCCCACAGGGTCTGAGAAGGCCACCGTGGTCATTTCTTCCCTTCTGTCAGACATAATTCCTCGGTTTGGCCTCCCCACCTCTATACAGTCCAATAACGGACCAGCCTTTACTAGTCAAATCGCCCAAGCAGTTTCTCAGGCTCTTGGTATTCAGTGGAAACTTCATACCCCTTACTGTCCTCAATCATCAGGAAAGGTAGAACAGACTAATGGTCTTTTAAAGACACACCTCACCAAGCTCAGCCTCCAACTTAAAAAGGACTGGACAGTATTTTTACCTCTTGCCTTTCTCAGAATTAGAGCCTGTCCTCAAGATGCTACGGGGTACAGTCCATTTGAACTTTTAAATGGATGCAGTTTCTGGCTTGGCCCCAACCTTGTCCCAGACACCAGTCCTCTAGGTGACAATCTTCTAGTCCTCCAGCAGGCTAGACAGGAAATTCGCCAGGCTGCTAATCTTCTCTTGCCTACTCCAGATTCCCAGCCATATGAAGACACTCTAGCTGGATGATCAGTTCTTGTTAAAAACCTGATCCCTCAAACTCTACAACCTCGATGGACCAGACCCTACTTAGTCATCTATAGTACCCCGACTGCCATCCGCCTGCAGGATCCTCCCCAATGGGTTCACCATTCCAGAATAAAGCTGTATTTGTCGGACAGCCAGCCTAATCCCTCCTCCTCCTCCTGGAAGTCGCAAACACTCTCCCCTACTTCTGTTAAACTCACTCGCATTTCTGAAGAACAGTAATAACCCTCATGAGCCTAATACATCTCTTCATTCTATTAGGTCTGTTCGTCCTTACCCTACTTTTTGCAACAGGGCTTTACACAGTTACCCTCACTATTTGGACTGTGCCCCAAAAGCTTGTCATCCCTACTATCTTCTGTCTAGTCATATTCCTATTCACCGTTCTCAATTACTCATAAATGCCCTGCTTTTGTTTACACTGCCCGTTTACAGTTTCTCTAAGCCATCACAGCTGATATCTCCTGGTGCTATCCCCAAACCGCCACTCTTAACTCCCTCTTAGAGTGGATAGATGATCTTTGCTGGCAGGGCACCCTCCAATACTTCCACCCTGATGAAGTTCTATTCTTTGCTTTTACACTCACTCTTATTCTCATTCCCATCCTTATGCCACCCTCTACCTCTCCCCAGCTATCTCCACCATACTATCAATCTTATTCACTCTCTCCTAGCCGTTTCTAATTCCTCCTTAGTGAACAATTGCTGGCTTTGCATTTCCCTTTCTTCTTGTGCCTACACAGCTGTCCCCACCTTACATACAGACTGGTCAACATCTCCTGTCTCCGTACACCTCCGAACTTCCTTTAACAGCCCTCACCTTAACCCTCCTAAAGAACTTCTTTACTTTCTAGACAGGTCCAGCAAGACCTCCCCAGACATTTCACATCAGCAAGCTGCCGCCATCCTCCACACTTACTTAAAAAACCTTTCTCCTTCTATCAACTCCACTCCCCCCATATTTGGACCCCTCACAACACAAACTACTATTCCTGTGGTCACTCCTTTATGTATCTCTCGGCAAAGACCCACTGGAATTCCCCTGGGTAACCTTTCACCTTCTCGATGTTCCTTTACTCTTTATCTCCAAAGTCCAACTACACGCATCACTGAAACAATTGGAGCCTTCCAGCTCTGTATTACAGATAAGCCCTCTATCAATACAGGCAAACTTAAAAACATTCACAGTAATTACTGCTTAGGAAGACACTTACCTTGTATTTCACTCCATCCTTGGCTACCTTCCCCTTGCTCATGAGACTGTCCTCCCAGGCCCTCTTCTTGTTTACTTATACCCAGCCCCAAAAATAACACTGAAAGGTTGCTCGTAGACACTCAACGTTTTCTCATACACCATGAAAATCGAACCTCCCCCTCTACACAGTTTCTGCGTCAGTCCCCATTACAACCTCTGATGGCTGCCGCCCTAGCTGAAGCCCTAGGAGTCTGGGTAACAGACACCCCTTTCAGCACTCCTTCTCATCTTTTTACTTTGCATTTCCAGTTTTGCCTTGCACAAGGTTTTTTCTTCCTCTGTGGATCCTCTACCTATATGTGTCTACCTGCTAATTGGACAGGCACATGCACACTAGTTTTCCTTACTCCCAAAATTCAATTTGCAAATTGAACCGAAGAGCTTCCTGTTCCCCTTATGAAGAGCTTCCTGTTCCCCTTATGACACCGATACGACAAAAAAAGAGTTATTCCACTAATTCCCTTGCTTGTTGATTTAGGACTTTCTACCTCCACTATTGCTCTCAGTACTGGAATAGCAGGCATTTCAACCTCTGTCACAACCTTCCATAGCCTCTCTAATGACTTCTCTGCTAGCATCACAGACATATCACAAACTTTATCAGTCCTTCAGGCCCAAGTTGGCTCTTTAGCTGCAGTTGTCCTCCAAACCGCCAAGGCCTTGACTTACTGCTGAAAAAGGAGGGCTCTGTATATTTTTAAATGAAGATTGTTGTTTTTACCTAAATCAATCTGGCCTGGTGTATGACAACATAAAAAAAACTCAGTAATAGAGCCCAAAAACTTGCCGATCAATTACACTGAACCCCCTTGAGCACTCTCTAATTGGATGTCCTGGGTCCTCCCTATTCTTAGTACTTTAATACCTGTTTTTCTCCTTCTCTTATTTGGACCTTGTGTCTTCCATTTAGTTTCTCAATTCATACAAAACCACAACCAGGCCATCACCAATCATTCTATATGATAAATGCTCCTTCTAACAACCCCACAATATCACCCCTTACCACAAAATTTTCCTTCAGCTTAATCTCTCCCACTCTAGGTTCCCACGCCGCCCCTAATCCCACTTGAAGCAGCCCTGAAAAGCATCACCCATTATCGCTCCATACCACCCCACAAAATTTTCACTGCCCCAACACTTCAACACTATTTTATTTTTCTTATTAATATAAGAAGACAGGAATGTCTGGCCTCTGAGTCCAAGCCTGCGCATATACATCCAGATGGCCTGAAGCAACTGAAGAATCACAAAAGAAGTGAAAATGGCTGGTTCCCGCCTTAACTGATGACATGACCTTTTGAAATTCCTTCTCCTGGCTCAGAAGCTCCCACACCCAGCACCTTCTGACCTCCATCCCTGCCCACCAGAGAACAACCCCCTTTTACTGTAATTTTCCAATACCTACCTAAATCCTATAAAACTGCCCCACCCTTAGCTCCCTTTGCTGACTCTCTTTTCAGACTCAGCCCACCTGCACCCAAGTGAAATAAACAGCTTTATTGCTCACACAAAGCCTGTTTGGTGGTCTCTTCACATGGACGCGCGTGACAAGTGCCTGCCACCACACCTGGCTAATTTTTGTATTTTTAGTAGAGATGGGGTTTCACCATGTTGGCCAGTCTGGTCTTGAATGCCTGACCTCAGGTGATCCGCCTGCCTTGGCCTCCCAAGGTGCTGGGGATTACAGGCGTAAGCCACTGCCCCCGGCCCTGCCTTTTTTATTTTTTTTTTTTAAACATCCAGGAGTCACACTGGATATCTGAATGTGCTTAAAATAAAATTTACATCTCATTCTTGAAGTGTTTATTAAATGCTTTCCCTGCATTCATGTGAATATCATAGCCCAGTGGTTAGATGTGCAGACTCCGAAGCCTGACTGCCTGGGTCTGTCACTTATTAGCTGTATGACCTTGGATGGGTTACTTAATATTTCTGGGCACTGGTTTCTCATTAGTAAAATGAAGAATGGGCGCCTGTAGTCCCAGCTACTTCGGAGGCTGAGGCAGGAGAATCGCTTGAACCCGGGCAGCAGAGGTTGCAGTGAGCTGACATCTCGCCACTGCACTCCAGCCTGGGTCACAGAGCGAGGCTCCATATCAAATAAAAAAAAAAAAAATCAGCTTTCAGAGAGAACTACTATTGCCTGGTGCTATCAGATCTCAAATACTGGAGGCATTCCCAATGTTCTGTTCACAAACTGTGCAATCTGCAGTAGCCCCTCTTGTGAATATAATCAAAGTGAAAGATGCCAGTATACCTATTGCTATGCTTAAAAGAACTGCAGATCTACATCCTTTTGAAACCAAAAAATGTGGAAGTCTCCCTGGCTAGATGCTGTGTGTCCACGTATCCTGCACCAATTGCTTGAAAGTCACATGACAACTTTTCTTCCTTTAGGGAAGGAAGCAAGCAAGGCAGGACACTGTGTTACAGCCACAGTGTGGCTAACAGGACTGAGGGAGGTGTAGCACTTGCATAGCGAGTGCCGCCAATACCATAGGAGCGTTGACACTAAATGGCACTTCTCTATTAAGTTGCCCTGCTGTCCTCTAAAGAGTGAGGGCAGCTTCACGAAAATAGCTCCTCGTATGTTAAACAAGGTAGGGTTTCAATTGTGAGCTATAAAGGCACCAGAGATTTCTCCTATAGAAGGAAAGTGTGTTTCCTGCTTGGACACCTGAATTTTCAACCCATCCTTTTTTTTCCTTTTCTTTCTTTCTGTTTTGTTTTGTTTTGTTTTGTTTTTTGCAACCCGTCCGTTCTATCTTTGCAGCCTCAGTTCCTACCACAGTGCCTGTCACGGAGCAGCTAATCGATACAGTGAGGCGTGTAAATTATTTGAAGCCGCTTCCTGCGCAATGGAACGTCCCCGCCAAGTCTCCAGGCACCGCTGGAGGTAGTCCCAATTAAAACACTAGGTTTCAGCAACACAAGGAGGGTTCACAGGGTCCCCGGACTACCCACCAAGGGTCGGCTCTGCTTTTAAACGCAGCTGCAGGAGTCCGAGGAGCGCCGCGATGCCCCAGTTGTCCAGGCCATTTCTACCCCGGCCAAAGCCGGCCGGCTGCGTGTACCTAATCTTGCACTAGGCGCTGGCTGCAGTCGATCCAACCGGCGCGCGGTCCTCCGCGATCCCAGCCTCCCTTGCGCCAAGGACACGTCCGGCGGCTTCGCGGGGCCTGTCTACGCCACCGCGACGCCTTTCTATGATCCACTGCAGCTTACCGAGCGAGTGTCATGGCGGCCGGCGTCGAGTTGGCAGGAGTAGCCCACGAAACTGGGGAAACTCACTAGAGCTGAGGAAGAAGTGGCCCAATCTGGACGGTGGGAATAAGCAGAAGGCCCTCCGCGGGTGACTGTGTCACTAGAGGCAGGCCCCTGGTAAAATTCCAGACCAGGCCTCTGCGTTGCTAGGCAGAACCTGGAGCCGGCCTTGCTTGAGAACCCCGCTTTGTGTTATCATATCCTGTCTCGCGAAGGCAGGCGTTCAAGGATATTTGGTCAGATCGTCCGACGGCGCTAAACCTTTTTTTTTTTTTCTCCCCCCCCCCCCGAACGGACCAGGTCGTTCTCTAAACTCGCTGCGATGTCGTCCTGGCTTGGGGGCCTCGGCTCCGGATTGGGCCAGTCTCTGGGTCATGTCGGGGGCAGCCTGGCTTCCCTCACTGGCCAGATTTCAAACTTTACAAAGGATATGCTGATGGAGGGCACGGAGGAAGTGGAAGGTAACAGCTGGAGCGAGGGAAGGGAGGGCTTTTCTAAGACCCTGGGAACGTCCGTTTGGTCCCTACTTCCATCAGTCAGGAGACGCGTACAGGTCGCAAAGGAATGCTGCTCCTCCCTTTTTTCTTCACACACCTCCTCTTGCCTCTTCTCAACAGATTTTCTATGATGAAAGACTACTGGGGGCCAGGGGAAGACTCCTGGTTCTCCTCCTTTAAATATTCTGGATATCTCAAAGTACAGTAGAGTGAAACTGCTCCTACGTTAAGTCGAATTTATTTTTGTTTGGTTTATCCACGCCCACCACTTTGCCTTCAGTTTGGGGTCTGATCTCATTCTTACTTTCCTGTATTCTGACACAGTTTAAAGAATTGTTTATGTGTTCTATATTTGTAACAGTTGAAATAACTCATAATTTAAACATTCGGTGAGTTTTGCTCTTTTCTGTCTTGAGTATGTTATGAAACACGTCCATATTTTTCCATTTAATTATTTTTTACTTTTCCTTATTGTGATGATACATTGTAGCGTTCCAGCTGAGAATGTATTTTTGTGTATAGTCGCTTATTTCGTCCGTATTTCGACAGTAGAATAGGGAAGACAACCCTATATTAAGGTACCCTTAGCAATCTTCACTCATTTTTGAAGTCCTCAATCTTGTTAGTAAAACAAGATTGAGTCACACACAATAGTGACCCAGAGTTACATGGTAATCAATGGCTACATTAATTACTATCCATTAATTACTATTTTGATTTCTTGGCATTTCAGTAAGCAATGTTTGGATCGAAACAGTTTTTAAGTTTCAATCCAAGTCTGCTCCAGGGAGATAATGGACTGTTCTTTTGGGTGAGAGCTGCTGCTTTGACAATTGTATTTCTTATAAATAAATTTAATAAATTAGTATTCTGGCTTAGTTTTGTTTAATTGCTTATTTAACAGATCCTTCATATTTATTTGGTTGAAATCGGGAAAGATGGTTTGATAGAAAGATAATGCTTATGTGTTGAGTTTCTGTGGGGTCTATTTAGATGGAAGGAAGAATAGACTGGGGAGCTACCGAAACCCACTTTACCGCTTGAGGTTCCCCATGCCATAAAGGTGCATCAGTGAGACAGGTTTGGATATAGAAATGAAAGGGCGTCTTTATGTGTTGGGGAAAGCATGGGACCTTGAGGGCAGTCAGAAGCACAGAAGAGCTGGATAACTATGGGAAATGACTAGTCGCTCCTTATATCCTAGATAGGGGAAAACGGTTGGCTGTTCCTTTGACCCTAAGCCAGAGAATGTGCATCCCTCAACCTGGATGTCTTCCAGGTTTAAGGTGGTATTCATTTTGTTCTCCTGCCAAATGTGCTATTTTCTCAATCTTAATGGCTTCATTCTCAGTTTCCTAAACTGTAACTCTTCATGTCTTTGTTTTATGTCTTTTTTCATCTACTTCCAGTTGGTCATGAAATCTTGTTTATCCTATGCCAGAATTGTCCTTTCCTTTATTGCTCCTTATTCTTTTGATCCCTATAATCTTTCCCAGGGACTATTCATCTTTCATGTCCTGTCACCCATTTCTCCCTACTCCAGTCCATTTTCAATTGTATTGTCAGTTACTTTTTAAAAACAAACCTGCTTAAAAATTTCTTGACCCTGTTACAGAACAAAATCCAAACCTCTCAGTTTTGGATGGAATCTCACTCTGTTGCGTAGGCTGGATGCAGTGGCATGATCTTGGCTCCCTGCAACCTTCGCCTCCTGGGTTCAAGCAATTCTCCTACCTGAGCCTCCCAAGTAGCTGGGATTACAGGCGTGTGCCACCACACCCAGCTAATTTTTGTATTTTTAGTAGAGATGAGGTTTCACCATGTTGGCCAGGCTGGTCTTGAACTCCTGAGACCTCAGGTGATCCTCCTGCCTCGGCCTCCCAGAGTGCTGGGATTACAGGCGTGAGCAACTGTGACTGACCTTCAGTGAACCTCTTCTAGTTGCCATACCAGTTGTTGTGCATGTGCACATACATAAGCTTGCTTATATGCACAGCTTCTGTCATGTGGGATTTTGTCAGGCACCTACACAACTTCAAGCCTCTATATGGAAAGCCCTTTCTTCTCTGTTTCCTCCTTCACCCAGAAAACAATTTTCCTGTACAGCCCTGCTCACATGTCAGGTACTTAAGTATTTGGTGAACCATTCTGACTCCCACACAGGTTGAGTTGTTGAGTTGAATTTGGTGATCTGTGTTCTAACAGAACTTTGTGGATCCCTCCCTGACAGCATTTAACATGTTGAGTTATAGTTCATCTGTTTTCCTGATGCCCAGGGTGGGGACTGAATTTTTTTGCTCTTTATATTCCCAAATATGTGGCACCTTCCTTTTGGCACATAGTAGATGCTTAATAAAAATGGCACAAGTGGGTGATGAGAAATCTGCAAAGTTGCTTAATGCCTTTATTCTTTTCCCTTTGTATTTCAATCAGACTTGCTTAACACCTAATTTATTGATTTTGTAAATTTTTAAAAATAGGAGTCTGGCCAGGTGTGGTGGTTCACACCTGTAATCTCAGCTCTTTGGTAGGCCCAAGTGGGAGGATAGCTTAAAGCCAGGAGTTGGGGACCAGCCTGGGCAACGTAGGGAGATCTCATCTCTACAAAAAGTTTTTAGCTGGGCATGGTGGTATGTGCCTATAGTCTCACCTACTTGGGAGGTGAGATGGGAGGTTTGCTTGAGCCCAGGAGTTCAAGGCTCCAGTGAGCTGTGATTGCACCACTGAACTCCAGCCTGGGTGACAGAGACGACCCTGTCTCAAAAAAATAAAGGGAAAGGAGGGTCAGACTACAGTTCTTTTATTCATTCAACAAGTATTTATTAGTGTTTACCCTGTGTCAGTAATGCAAAATAAAACAGTTCCAAAATAGCACTATGGGGACAACTTAAAAGCCATCCATATTTGTAATATCAGAAGGTTGCAATTTTACCTAACACTACTGATTTATTCAAGGTTAGGAGCTTGGGCTTTTAAATCATACATGGGTTGAAATTCTGCTTTTGTGCATTACAAGTTGTGGGATTTTGGGCAAATTATTAGAAATGAACCTCCAAAAAGCAGTTTCCTTATCTTTTAAACAGGGATAATCATATCTATTGTGAGGTTGAGAGTATTAAATGAAATCATGAGTGCAAAATGACTGGAATTGTGCCTAGCAAATTGTAAACATTAATGAAGGGTAAATGTCATATTTGCCCTCATTGACAAAGTCAGAATATTTTTGTCTGCATAATATCTCCCCTTTATACCTAAAAAGGCCAAGTTTTTCTTGTGGGGAAGGGTATGAAGTTTGCATGAACTTGTAAAATCCCTCTTTAAAATAGTTGCTGCTTTTAACAATTACCTTCCTAAACAAATTAGATTATACCTTGTCCTCTTCGGAGTAGCAATTAAACAGTCCTTTCATAGTTTCAAGCAAGACGTACAACCAACCACAGATGTAACCCTCCCTGGTGATTTTCTAAACAAGAGTGTTTGTCACTGTAATTATTGCATGCTTCTTTTGATTTAAACCGAGCTTCTCCAACCTGTGGTCTGCAGGCCACATGTGGCCTAGGATGGGTTTTGAATGAGACCCAACACAAATTCACAAACTTGCTTAAAATATTATGAGTTTTGGCCGGGCGCGGTGGCTTAAGCCTGTAATCCCAGCACTTTGGGAGGCCGAGACGGGCGGATCATGAGGTCAGGAGATCGAGACCATCCTGGCTAACACGGTGAAACCCCCAGTCTCTACTAAAAAATACAAAAAACTAGCCGGGTGAGGTGGCGGGCATCTGTAGTCCCAGCTACTCGGGAGGCTGAGGCAGGAGAATGGCATAAACCCGGGAGGCGGAGCTTGCAGTGGGCTGAGATCCAGCCACTGCACTCCAGCCTGGGCGACAGAGCGAGACTCCGTCCCAAAAAAAAAATATTTTGAGTTTTTCTGGCTGGGCGTGGTGGCTCACACTTGTAATCCCAGCACTTTGGGAGGCCGAGGAAGACCTCAGGATCACCTGAGGTCAGGAGTTTAAGGCCAGCCTGGCCAACATGGTGAAACCTCGTCTCTTTAGTAAAAGATACAAAAATTAGCTGAGCATGGTGGCGCAGGCCTATAGTCCCAGCTACTGGGGAGGCTAAGTTGGGAGAATCACTTGAACCCAGGAGGTGGAGGTTGCAGTGAGCTGGGATTGTGCCACTACACTCCAGCCTGGGCAACAGAGGGACACTCTGTCTCAAAAAAAAACGAAAGAGTTATTTTTGCGTTTTTTTTTTTTTTTAAAGCTCATTAGCGATTGTTAGCGTTAGTGTATTTTATGTATGGCCCAAGACAGTTCTTCCAGTATGGCCCAGGGAAGCCAAAAAATTGGAAACTCCTAATAAACTGTAGTTCAGAGAAGTTATTTTTATATTAAGGAGCTGTGAGTAATGAAAAAAATACTAGTACCTAGGAAAAAAAATCTAACTCTGGATGATGATTTTCTTTTCTATTTTTTTTTTTGTTGTTGAGACCAAGTCTTGTTCTGTCGCCCAGACTGGAGTGCAGTGGCACGATCTCGGCTCACTGCAGTTTCTGCCTTCCCGGTTCAAGCAATTTCTCCTGCCTCACCTCCTAAGTAGCTGGGATTGCAGATTACAGGCACCCTTCACCATGACTGGCCAGTTTTTTTTTTATTTTTAGTAGAGATGGGGTTTTGCCATATTGGCCAGGGTTGTCTTGAACTCCTGACCTAAAGTGATCCACCTGCCTCGGCCTCCCAAAGTGCTGGGATTACAGGTGTGAGCCACCGAGAGCAGCTGGATGATGATTTTCTACTAGCATTTGTGGTTACCATGTTGATACTGCTGGGCTCTGACTCTACTTTAAATGAAAATGTACAAAACCAAGGGCCCTGCGTGGTGACTCACACCTGTAATCTCAGCACTTTGGGAGGCTGAGTGTGGAGGACTGCCTAAGGCTAGGAGTTCGAGACCTGCCTGGGCAACATGGTGAAACCTCATCTCTCCAAAAAAGTAAAAAAATTAGGTAGGTGTGGTCACATGTGCCTGTAGTTCCAACTACTTGGAAGGCTGAAGCGAGAGAATTTGAGGCTACAGTGAGCCATGATCATACCATTTATACTCCAGCCTAGGTGGCAGAGTGAAGTGAGACTTTCTCCAAGAAAATTAAAAAATGAAAATGTACAAAACCAGACTGAGCTCATTCACATTTTTAATAAATTGCATCTATGTTGCTTTAAGTGTTCTCAGTATATTTTTCTTCGTTTATAGGTCATTTATTATTTGATAGTATTGAGAGCAGAAGTTAGTGACAGAGCAGGTACACTGTTATCTCAGACAAATACTGCCACTTTTAAGTTCCAGCTCCCCTTCTTTTTTTGGAGACGGAGTCTCACTGTCGCCCAGGCTGGAGTACAGTGGGGCAACAGTACACTGCAACCTCCACCTCTCAGGTTCAAGTGATTCTTCTGCCTCAGCCTCCTGAGTAGCTAGGATTATAGGCATGCGCCACCATACCTGGCTAATTTTTGTATTTTCAGTAGAGATGAGATTTTACCTGTTGGCCAGGCTGGTCTCAAACTCCCGATCTCATGTGATCCGCCCACTTTGGCCTCCCAAAGTGCTGGGATTACAGGCGTGAGCCACCGCACCCAACCTCTAGCTCTCTTTCTAACCTCATGCATTTCAAGGAAGTCACTTCTCTCCTAACTACAAGCAGCCAGAAAAAGCAGACAGTAAAACACATACAGAGGGGGTGCTTGGGCACAAAAGGAGGTGGGGGGACGTCTCTTGGATAACTGCCAAACTTCACTCTCATACAGTGGGCCCCACTAAAGCAGTGGGCCTTAATAAGCACATTCATTTCCCTTCAGGTGCACTAAAATAGGGAAGCTAAAGCAGATTTAGGGGATATGTCTGCAACTCCAGAAAAAATGGAACAAACACAACTCTCCCTCCCAGATAAGCACTACAAAAAAACACAGAGGCAGTCTAAGCCTCTAATACACTTTCCCACCCTAAATCCTTAAAAACTCTTAGTCTGGAAAAGAGTGTGCCTCTAACCTAACTCAGCCAAATGCCCCTCTCAGGTTTGTTTTCTCTAAAATAAACCTGTCTTAACTGGCAAGCCACCCTTTGTGTTTGTCTCCTCTTTCTTTAATTCTTACAGTTAGAAATAAGGCCTGAAGCCCCAGTTGAATAAGTTTCATCTAAAATTATAGCAGTGTAAGCCCACAGAGAAATAGTTTTAATTTCTAAAGCTTAGTTTCCCACAGCAAAATTTTAATGAACATTTCTAAGGGGTAAAGGTAGACATCCTAAGATAGAGGGCATAGGCAAAAAGAATGACTTTTATGACAATGAAGAACATTAGTGTCAGTGAAAAGTTGTTATGGAAATAAAGTAATTTTTTTCTTCTGAATCCTCTCATATCAGCCTACTATTCTGTGTTAACTCAGTGAAATATATTTTCCTGAAAATACCTGTTTATTACTTCATATGGTATTGATTAAATATTCAATATTTGATATTTCTCTTGTAGCAGAATTGCCTGATTCTAGAACAAAGGAAATTGAAGCCATTCATGCAATCTTGAGATCAGAGGTAAGGAAAATCAAAGACTACTTAGATTTTTCTTTTTTAAAGTCGTGAAAGTTACACAAACATTATTTTGATCCTTTCTTTTTGAATGTACTGCTTAGCACTTTTTTTTCTTGTTTAATCTCAATTGTTTTTTGAGCTTTTATCAACCTCTGTAGATGAAAAATATATTTACCTGGTACTGCAGTTTGCTATTCTTTAATATTCCCATCTCTATTTCTGTATAAGTAGGAAAACTACCAAATATAGAAATAATAGATCAATAATTTATCATAATCCGGGGTTTACTGTGTTCTAACAGCGTACTAAATTGCAGAGGTACATTTATTTAAGAATAATTTTTTTTTTTTGAGATAGAGTCTCACTCTGTCACCCAGGCTGGAGTGCAGTGGCACCATCTTGGCTCACTACAACCTCCACCTCCTAGGTTCAAGCAACTTCTCTGCCTCAGCCCCCTGAGTAGCTGGGACTATAGGACTGTTACCACACCCAGCTAATTTTGTATTTTCACCATATTGGCCAGGGTGTTCTCAAACTTCTGACCTTGTGATTCACCCGCCTTACCCTCCCAAAGTGCTGGGATTACAGACGTGAGCCACCGCGCCTAAGTATAATATTAAGAATGCAATTCTGTTTAACCTGGAGCTTTTTAAACACTAAAATGATAATAATATTTGGATACAAAGAAGTTAAGAATATAGGAATAGCAGCCAGGCACAGTGGCTCATGTCTGTAATCCCAGCATTTTGGGAAGCCAAGGCAGGTGGATCACTTGAGGTCAGGAGTTCGAGTTAAGCCTGGCCAACATAGTGAAACCCTGTCTCTGACTAAAAATACAAAAAAATTAGCCAGATGTGGTGGCGCACACCTGTAATCTCAGCTACCCAGGAGGCTTAAGGCAGGAGAATTGCTGGAAACTGGGAGGCGGAGGTTGCATTGAGCCAAGATCACACCACTGCATTCCAGTCTGAGTGACAGAGAAAAACTCCATCCAAAAAAAGAAAAAAAGATAGAGGAATAGCAAATTAATTTTACTGTTTTATTCATTATTAGTGTCTAGACTGGGTGCAGTGGCTCATGCCTGTAATCTCAGCACTTTGGGAGGTGAAGGTGGGAGGGTGGCTTGAGGCCTAGAGTTTGAGACTGGTTACAAAAAATAAAGATAAAAACGTTAGCCAAGGTGTAGTGGTGGGTGTCTGTAGTCCCTGCTACTTGGGAGGCTGAGGTGGGAGGATTACCTGATCTTAGGGCCCAGAAAGTCAAGGCTGCGGTGAACTGTGATCCTGCCATTGTACTCCAGCCTGGGCGACAGAGTAAGACCTTGTATCAAAAAAAGAAAAATACATTTTAATAATTTAAATACAGCAAATCCAAATTTTTATGTAATTTTTTTCTGGTTTTGAAACCTTAAAGACTCAAAATAACCAATGTTCTTTGAATTCAGTTAACTGCTTTTTAACCTTTAATTGCATAACATGGAATATCTTTATCTCGTAAAATATTGATTCCAAATTTCAGTTACCTCGCTAATAGATTTCAGGTTATTACTACTTCTAGTTATTTTTGTTGTGTTGGTTGTTTTGAGACAGGGTCTTGCTTTTTTGCCCAGGCTGGAGTACAGTGGCACAATCATAGTTCACTGCAACCTTAAACTTCTGGGCTCAACCGATCCTTCTGCTTCAGCCTCTTGAATAGCTGGGACCACAGGCATGCGACACCTCACCCAGCTAATTTTTAAAATTTTTTTGTAATAGGCCGGGCACGGTGGCTCATGCCTATAATCCCAGCACTTTGGGAGGCTGAGGTGGTCAAATCACTTGAGGTCAGCTTGGTCAACATGGTGAAACCCCGTCTCTACTAAAAATACAAAAATTAGCTGGATATGGTGGCGGGCGCCTATAATCCCAGCTACTTGGGAGGCTGAGGCAGGAGAATCACTTGAACCCAGGAGGCAGAGGTTGCAGTGAGCCGAGACCACACCATTGCACTCCAGCCTAAGCAATACTCCGTCTCCAATAAATAAGTAAGTAAGTAAGTAAATAAATTTTTTTGTAGAGACCATGTCTTGTTCTGTTGACCAGGCTGGTCTCAAACTCCTGGCTTCAAGCAGTCTTTCCACCTTGGCCTCTGAAAGTGCTGGGATTACAGGCATGAGCCACCATGCCCAGCCTGATTCTTGATTGTGTCATTAAAACGAATACTTTTGAAAATTGTAATGGCTCATGATTTTATTGAAGAGATGATGGCTGTCATCTTTGCTCCATAATTACAAAGCATGTTTATTCTTAGATTTATAAATGTCAATTAGAATGGTCAGTCCACTGAGCTTTTTTCATTTCTGTGTCATCTGTTTCCTCCCAGTTGCTTTTGTATACACACCTGCCTTCAGCCTTCTACATATGAACCTATCAAGTAAATGTTGGTGTACAAATATACATGATGAAAGAACACTGTCACATGGACAGGCGCGGTGGCTCACGCCTGTAATCCCAGCACTTTGGGAGGCTGAGGCAGGTGGATCATGTGAGTTGGAGACCAGCTTGACCAACATGGAGAAACCCCGTCTCTACTAAAATTACAAAATTCGCTGGGCTTGGTGGCACATGCCTGTAATCTCAGCTGCTGGGGAGGCTGAGGCAGGAGAATCACTTGAACCTGGGAGGTGGAGGTTGCAGTGAGCTGAGATCCCGCCATTGCACTCCAGCCTGGGCAACAAGAGCGAGACTCAGTTTCAAAATAAATAAATAATACTGTCACATATCTGCTTAGCAAAATGAAATAGTATAGGTCCTTGTCACAAGACAATGCAGAGTAAAGTATTTTCCTGTTGAATGATATGAAAGCCATATTTCTTTTTTGTTCTTAGAAATATATTGTTCACTCATCAATTCTTGACTTTCAGAAAATTCATCCAGGATATTGCCATCTGAAGATTTGTATAAGATTTCACTTCTACAGTCCATTTCACCATAACCATTAGACTCTAGGATGCTGCTTTCTGTCTCTTTGCGTTCATCTTCTGAGTTGTCTGATAATTGTGAAATGTTTACCTTTGTCAGTTTTCTTCTCTTCATCAAATAATTAAAAATTCTGAGTTTTTAGCTGTCTTCAATGAAACAGACAAAAAAACAACTGCAAAAAGTGGTGTCTGTAGACAGCTGTTTTCTTTTAAAAAGTTGATATAGGCCAGGTGTGGTGACTCACGCCTGTAATCCCAGCACTTTGGGAGGCCAAGGCGGGCAGATCATGAGGTCAAGAGTTTGAGACCAGCCTGACCAACGTGGTGAAACCCCATCTGTACAAAAAATACAAAAGTTAGCCAGGCGTGGTGGTGTGTGCCTGTAATCCCAGCTATTCAGGAGGCTGAGGCAGGAGAATTGCTTGAACCTGGGAGGCGGAGGTTGCAGTGAGCTGAGATTGTATCACTACACTCCAGCCCGGTTGCAGTGAGCTGAGATTGTGCCAGTACATTCCAGCCTGGGCGACAGAGTGAGACTCTGTCTCAAAAAAAAAAAAAAAGATGTAATACTTTGGGCAATGCAGTCGCAAAACTGGTTATTTTACCATTGTATCATTCTCCTAGGTGATTTCATAGGTTTTCCATTTTCTTTTTGTCATTTTTAAAATAGTTGGGAATAAATTTTTAAATGTTTTTTTAAAAATTGCTGTGATAGTAAAAGAGCAAAATGTTTTAAGATACAGAAAATACAAGTTGATTATGATCCCGTGATTTTTGTTAGATTTATAAAAGAATCCACAGTACCCTTATGGTAATTGTAAGATAGAATGTTTTATTCTATTTTTAAAAATAGGTAAATTTTCTCTTTGTTGGTAGACCTCTCAGAAAGAATAAGTTTTACAAATAGTTAGGACTGCCTAAAAAAGAAATTAAGTTGATTTCTGTGGACCCTAATGGTATAACCAAGGATTAAGCAGGACAGAATATTTTAAGATATGAGTGTCCTATGGACTTCCACAGCAGAAATGTAGTCAGAGTTTAGAGGGACTGCAGCTAGACCTGGAGGCCATCAGGAGTCTGTCTCTCTTTTCATTTGTACTCTCTTGTCTTCTTTCCATGCATTTATTCTTTTCTCCGTTTAGACCAGCCCCCTCTGTTCCATATTCCATATAATAGAAAATATTATCTCTGGCAACTCTCTTCATATTTTATGGATTCAGCCACATAAAGAGAAACTGTCCTTCATTTGCTCTCTCAGCCTTTCTTTTTCTTTTGAGACAGGGTCTTGCTCTGTCACCCAAGTTGGAGTGCAGTGGTGTGATCATGGCTTCCCACAGCCATGACCTCTCAGGCTCAAGCAGTCTTCCCTCATCAGCCTCCTGAGTAGCTGGGACTATGGGTGCAAGCCAACACACCCAGCTAATTTTTCTATTTGTAGTATTTGTTCCTTATGTTGCCCAGGCTGGCCTTGAACACCTGGGCTCAAGTGATCCTCCTGCCTCAGCCTCCCAAAGTGCTAAGAATACAGGCATGAGCCACCGTGCCTAGCCTTTTCTCAATCTTTCTGACTCTCATATGGCTATGGAGATGAGGGCAGACAACCAAGTAGATACTGACCATATTCAAAGTTTTAAAGTTCTGTTTATTAATCAGAGTTAAATAAATAGCCTTAGGTATTTTTGTGTGGAAAAAAACCCTGAAGTGATCTTTTATAACCAGGGTTTGACTTCAGTATATTATATTGCTAAGTTATATATGGTGTTTTTCTTATTAACAGCTTACAGAAAATCATGCAAAAGCAGCCAATAGAATAGAAAGTAATCAGCTGTTGTGACCATTGGTCCTGTTTCTTACTACTAGTTCTTCAGGATAATTAAGGTCTGTGTTAGATTTCTGGGGATAGAGTCCCAAACTAGGATTTGTGGATTTTGTAATTATTCCTTTGATTATTCCATTGATTTTCTCTGCAAATTTATGTAATCTTCCTGGATCATTATTTTCACATCTGTTGACATCAGAAGTTCCTAGAATCGAAGAAGAAAACAAATGACACCCCCAAAGTGAAAAAGTCTTCACCTTTTAGCAAGAGCTTTCTTTCTCACCATCAGCCTCCTTTTTCTCATTCATTGTTGTTAAACTGTGTTTGTGGGTATATTAGTAGAATGCTTAGTAAATTGTTACCTGCAGTGATTTGTAAATTCTTTTTTGTAGATAGTTTTAGTGTCCATTTCTCTTGCCCCATTATATTCTTCTTATTTCATTCAAATAAGGAATGATAATAGGTTAAGATAATTTAATATTTAGGTACATACAATTTGAGTAACTTTTTTCATGTTTTTCAGCATCTTAAAAGACAGTGTGTGATGTCTAGATTCATTGAATTAGGCTATTTTGTATACTTTGAACTTTTTTCAAGCAGTTCTAGTAGTGGTTTTCAAATTGGATTTTTCAGAGGTCCTTCAGGGACTCTGAAGGACAAGCAAACGATGTGAGATTTTAGCTCCTCCCTGTACTTCACCCAGAAGGATTTCTTTTAAAAAAAGTTCTGTTTGGGGAGAAAACAAAAACTCAAACATATAATCCATGTATTTACTAGATATGTATTGACTACTATATGCTAGAACTGGGTGGACAAAGTTGGGGAAACATTGATTAGTGGCCTTAACAGAAAATCAATCTGAGCAAAATGTTACTATTTCACTGTTTGGTTTAGAATTATGCATTTTCTATATAAACATGGTCAGTGTATTTTTTTTTCTTTTTTTTTTGAGACGGAGTCTCGCTCTGTCACCAGGCTGGAAGGCAGTGGCATGATCTCGGCTCACTGCAACCTCTGCCTCCCAGGTTCAAGCAATTCCCCTGCCTCAGCCTCCTGAGTTGCTGGGATTATAGGTGCGCACTACCATGCCCGGCTAATTTTTTTTTGTATTTTAGTAGAGATGGGGGTTTCACCATGTTGGCCAGGATGGTCTCGATTTCCTGACCTTGTGATCTGCCTGCCTTGGCCTCCCGAAGTGCTGGGATTGCAGGCGTGAGGCACCATGCCCGGCTGGTCAGTGCATTTTTAACTTTAATTTAGAAGCATATTTTGAAGTCTAGAATTCTGTCCGAGACCTTTTATATTTGACATTTTTTTGGAGGGAAGCAGTACGTTTTTCATAAAGCCATGCACAAAACTAATTACATGTTTTACTTGCAGTCTTTTTGTTGAAAATACTTTTTTTTTCTAGAATGAAAGGCTTAAGAAACTTTGTACTGATCTAGAAGAGAAACATGAAGCATCAGAGATTCAAATAAAGCAACAGTCTTCAAGTTATCGAAATCAACTGCAACAAAAAGAGGTGAGTGTGATCACAGTTACTTCATACGTACTTCACTATAATGTATTTAGGTATGTTTTTAGAGTTAGAATATAAATCGAGGTGTATTCAGATCTACAAAAATATTGAGAAAGTGATGAATTTAATAATTTTCGACTCAGTTTGATATCCCTTATTTAATAAGAACTTTATAAGATTTTCTATTAAGTTTACATTATATAAACCAACCTGTGTGAAGTATAATTTTTTCTTTCCAAAAGGAGAAAAAGTTTTTGTATAAAATATCTTTAGGCATCTGTTGCTTATAATTTCTGATTTTATGAAGCCTAATGTTTGTTGTATTGGCATGTGCTTGATTTTCCGTGGAAAAACAATATTAAATATAATTTATGTATAATTGCTTTATAAATGTTTTTGGGTTTTTTTAGTTTGAAATGGCTGCTTTGGAATTGATTTATCTTTGCTTTACAGTGCTGGTAGTAGATATTATATAATTTAATGTTACTCTGAATCCTTAAAATACAGTCTGTGTCCTCATGTGTTGTGCTGTTACTGAATTCTCCTTAGTGTTTAGTACGTGAGTGGCCTCGAATAAATACTTACATTGAATTGACCTGTTTCCTGTTTTATTATCCAGATCATTTGGATGTTTTTTAGTTTGTTGACTAAATGTTCATTTCTACCATAACTTTCTATTTGGGTTTTTAAGATTTAGGTGTCATGCTTTCTAGTTCCTTTAATGACATGCTAAGATGAAAGATAAAAGTATAGCACATTAAAGATATACATAGGTTTTGAGAGTAGTGCTTAAATTTCCAATTTGTTGGAAAGTGATAATTTCATAAAATACAATAAAAAATGAATTACTATAAAAATAAAGTGAATACTAAAAAAAGCAAAGTTGCAAGTTCAATTAATTTTTTTTTTTTTTTTTTTTTGATGAGACAGAGTCTTACTCTGTCACCCAGGCTGAAGTGCAGTGGTGCGATCTCGGCTCACCACAACCTCTGCATCCCGGTTCAAGCAGTTCTCGTGCCTCAGCCTCCCAAGTAGCTGGGATTACAGGCATGCACTACCACGCCTGGCTAATTTTTGAATTTTTATTAGAGATAGGGTTTCACCACATTGGCCAGGCTGGTCTCAAACTCCTGACCTCAGGTGGCCTCCTAAAGTGCTGACATTACAGGCGTGAGCCACCCTGTCTGTCCACAAGTTCAAAGTAAAGTTACAAACCTACTTTTTTATTTTTCTCGATTCCCTGTCTCTACTAATAATACAAACATTAGCCGGGCGTGGTGGCATATGCCTGTAGTCTCAGCTACTCGAGAGGCTGAGACAGAAGAATTGCTTGAACCTGGGAGGTGGTGGTTGCAGTGAGCTGAGATCGTGCCACTGCACTCTATCCTGGGTGACAGAGCGAGACTCCATCTCAAAAAAAAAAAAAAAAAAAGATTCAGTAGATATAAAATTACTACCAAATTGCTTTAAAAGTCTTAAATCTTACTCTTCACATTGCTATACGTGCTCTGAACTGGTAGTGAACATTCACTGCATTCATCCGTGGACCACGTTTTGAGTAGCATTGAGTTGTAAACATTATGATAGAACAGTAGTTCCTCCTACCCAGGGGTTTACAGCTGTATCATTATGACACTTTAAAAGCATATACATGTTTACACCACCTAGGAGATTCTAAGTTAGTATATTGGAAAGAGGCCCTGGTACAGGTTGAGCATTCCTACCAAAATTCGAAATGCTCCAAAATCCAACACTTTGAGTGCCAGTGTGATGCCACAAGTGGAAAATTCCACACATAAGTACTGAACACAAGCTTTGTTTTATGCACAAAATTGTTAAAAGCATTTTATAAAATTACTTTCACACCTTATACTGTGGGTATAAGGTGTATATGAAACATAAATGAATTTTGTGTTTAGACGTGGGTCCCATCCCCAGGATATCGCATCATATTTATGAGAATGTTCTCAAATTGGAAAATACCTGAAATGTGAAACAGTTCTAGTCCCGAGCATTCGGATAAGGATACTCAACCTGTATTGGTCATTTTCAAAAGGTCCATAGGTGATTCTGATGCTTACCTCACAGTTGAAAACACTGGTGTGGGAAATTTTGGTATTTTCTACTTAACTGTCAATGTTAGAGGGCACATTAAGCATTCAGGTTTGGAAGCATCTATTATAGCTTGCACTTGTGTAACTCTACAAGTTGATATAAATACCATGTAATGATAGTTTTTTAAATATCATAGATACTTTGAAAAAGATGTGGATTTTAGTACTTTTTACAAGGATGAAAGATATGATTATATAGATTTGTTATTTCCTGAATCTATGTGTGGGCCTCATTGTGATGTTCATGTTCTCCAAGATGTAATTTATCTCATGTCATTTGTGGGAAAATGAATGAAATTTGCACACTACTATAGATTTCCATTCGAGAAGGGGCTCCAATATGGAAAACTTGTTTGTTATGGCATACGACATAAATGTGTTTGGTTTTTGTCTACTTGCTTAACTTTATGCATATAGAAATACCTTACTTGTTGACTGTCTTCCCAATATCAAATTTTCCTCAGTTGTGGCAGTGTCTTCTGGACTACTTTGACTACTTTACAGAAAACTTATTTCAGTTCTGTCTATGTTGTTTGATTTTGTGTTTTGAATAATCTTTTACAAGAATGGATGTGGCATTTTGGTAGGTCCTGTGTTTATAATTTCTTTTGTACTAAGACTTACCTGCCTTCAGTCAAAACTCTGCTGGTAATTTCAGAACTTGTATACTGTTCTCTTCCTAAATAGGTCAGATTTTCACTGGCTCCTCTTTGCCAAAGCTAGAGCTAAGACCTCTTTCAGTATATTATTTCTTTTTAAGATTCATGGGCTAATAACAACCATGGGCTCACTGTTTCACTGTTTTCTTATCTAAAAAGATTGGATTTATAAATCAAAGCATTCTTCCAGCTGTGCTGTGCAGGCCACTACAAAGTTACCTCTGATTCATGGTGCATTTTAAGCCTGTATCCAGCCATAATCAGTTACACAGCACTCTTGTAACAGAAGATATTCTAAGAAAATTTCCAGTGCATAGACTGACACAGCTTTCATTTTCGCATCATTTAAGATTTGGTAATCACAAACAGAACCTTAAGAAATTGTCTATACTACTTCATACAGAGAAGATAGCAAACCCGTGTTTAACTGAAAAATTCTTTCTTTTATTAACGTACAAAATTCTGATATTTCTACTATTTGTAACATTATTTATGCCTTAATTGTGAGTGTGTTTTAAATAAAAATGTTATAGTTAGAATGTTATGTAAGACTTAGATTCAGTTAATAGAGGACCATCATTGGATAATCTTAAATTATTATATTGTGTCTTTTAATACAAATCTATGAAAGGTCAATATGATTGTTTTAAAGTACCTTTTCTAAAACATGGATTATAAATATATAGGTAGAAATCAGCCATCTTAAAGCCAGACAGATTGCACTCCAGGATCAGTTGCTGAAACTGCAGTCAGCTGCTCAGTCAGTACCTTCAGGAGCTGGTGGTGTACCAGCAACCACTGCATCGTCTTCATTCGCTTACGGGATTAGTCATCATCCTTCAGCTTTCCATGACGATGACATGGACTTTGGTGATATAATTTCGTCCCAACAAGAAATAAACCGACTCTCAAATGAAGTTTCAAGACTTGAGTCTGAAGTTGGCCATTGGAGGCACATTGCCCAGGTAGATAAAAATTTTTTAGAGTTTTTGAAAACTTTGAGTAAAATTACAGGTGTAATATAAAAAGCTGTATGTAGAGCTTTTGCTATCAGAAAGAACCCTGGACTAGGAAATAGAAAACCTGTATTCTAATTCCGTCAGTGACTTTCTTTTTGTGTGTGTTTTTATTTTTTTTATTATTATTTTTTTTTGAGACAGAATCTTGCTCTGTCTCCCAGGCTAGAGGACAGATCTTATGGCATGATCTTGGCTCACTGCAGCCTCTGCCTCCTGGGTTCCAGCGATTCTCCTGCCTCAGCCTCCTGGGTAGGTGGGATTACAGGCGCACACCACTATGCCTAGTTTTTTTTATCTTTAGTAGAGACGGGGTTTCACCATTTTGGCCAGGCTAGTCTCAAACTCCTGACCTCAGGTGATCTGCCCACCTCAGCCTCCTAAAGTGTTGGGATAACAGGTGTGAGCCACTGCGCCTGACCTCTGCCAGTGACTTTCTTTCTTTCTTTCTTTCTTTTTTTTTTTTTGAAACAGAGTCTTACTCTGTCACCCAGGCTGGAATACAGTGGCACAGTATTGGCTCACTGCAACCTCCGCCTCCTGGGTTCAAATGAACCCTGTCTCAGCCTCCTAAGTAGCTGGGATTACAGGTGCGTGCCACCATGCCTGGCTAATTTTTGTATTTTTAGTAGAGACGGGGTTTCACTATGTTGGTCAGGCTGGTCTTGAACTCCTGACCTTGTGATCCTCGTGATCCGCCCGCCTCGGCCTCCCAAGTGCTGGGATTACAGGCGTGAGCCACTGCGCCTGGCCTCTGCTGGTGCCTTTCTAATTGATTTTGGTCATGTCATCTTTCTCTCCCAGTCTCAGTTTCCCTTTCTGTACACTATTTGGAAAAACAATTAAAGCAACAGATCCTTTTTTTTTTTTAATAAAACATTATGAGAGGAAAAAAAATTGAGTTGCTGTGGTTGAACCAAGAACCTTATCTTCTGGAGTTCCTGAGACTCCTCTGGTGGAAACACCGGGACTCTGAAACACCGTGTTTGAAACCGCTTGCTTAGATGTTGTCTGAGGTTTCTGTTAGCTCTAGTTACATGTAAAATGAAAATCCAGCAATTGATATTATAAAATATGATAAACTATTTTGTCTTTTTTCTCATGCACTAGAAATTAATTCTTTGTTATTTGGGGCTGTAAACTTTCTTCCAAGGAACCCTTTTTTGTCTTACATATTAGATTTTATACAGGATGAATATCTCTTCTCCAAAATACTTGAGACTAGAAGTGTTTCAGATTTTGAATTTTGGAATCTTTTCTTGTTCTTTCTTTTTTGTTTTTTGTTTTTCTTTGAGACAGAGTCTCAGTCTGTTGCCCAGGCTGCAGTGCAGTGGCACCATCTCGGCTCACTGCACCCTCTGCCTCTCGGGTTCAAGCAGTTCTCCTGCCTCAGCCTCCTGAGTAGCTGGGATTACAGGCGCCACCACCACGCCCAATTAAAATTATCTCCTCCTTTCACAAGTTGCTAGACTTTCTCAGTACCCCAGATAAGCCTTAGAGAGGATGATCTGTTTGTCCATCTTATCTCCAAAAAGCAGTAGTTCTTAAACTTTGTATGTATAAGAACTGACCTGGGGAACTTGGCAGTACTGGAGATCTTCTGTAGTACCTTCAGAGATACCAATTTGTTAGCCAGTTTTAGGGCCTTAAACTGTATTTAAACAAATAGCCCTGGTGATTCTGATAACCTGAGGAACATATTTTAAGAAACATTGGTTAGGGTAAGATTTCATAGGGAAGAGAATGGTTTTTGGTGTGTTCACTTCAATGTATCTTAAATGCCTACTCCATGACAGACCTGTACTCAACTATAAAGGTAAAAAAGGCGTACTTGGGACCTTTCAGAGGACTTAATTTTCTAGCAAGACACAGTAAAATTAACATTTGCAGTACAGTTTATAAGATGCTTCCATATGTATTATCCCAGTAGATTATTATGTTAATAACTATGAGATGTATTTATTACCTGTAGTTTATAGATAAGGAAATGGAAAGGGGTTTTTGTTTTTGTTTTTTTTGAGATGGAGTCTCCCTCTGTCGCCAGGTTGGAGTGCAGTGGCGTGATCTCATCTTACTACAACCTCTGCCTCCCAGGTTCAAGCGATTCTCCTGCCTCAGCCTCCCAAGTAGCTAGGACTACAGGCGCCCACCACCACTCTCAGCTAATTTTTTTTTGTATTTTTAGTAGAGACAGGATTTCACTATGTTGGCCAGGATGGTCTTGATCTCTTCCCCTCATGATCCACCCACCTTGGCCTCCCAAAGTGTTGGGATTATAAGTGTGAGCCACCGTGCTCAGCCCTAAGAAACTAAAAGTTTAAGTCATACCATCCATTGCCACAGTGGTTAAGTTATGATTCAAACACAGTTTTGACTAAATCCTGTATTTTTTCTATTATACTTTATTCTTTCTTTCAGTCCTAGAGTAGCTTTTGGTTCATTAAGATGCTATATAGTAATATTAATAAAGATAAATGAACAACATACAGCTTTGAATGAGAAGAATCGAAAGGTTGTTTTATTTATTTGTTAAAACAAAGATTATTCTCTGTTGGGTAGAGATCCTCTGGGTAAAATCATTTGATTTTGCCAGGCATGGTGGTTCATGTCTAATCCCAGCACTTTGGGAGGCCAAGGCAGGAGGATTGCTTGCAGCCAGGAGCTCGAGACCAGTCTATGCAACATAGTGAGACCCTGTCTCTACAAAAAATATTAGCTAGGAATGCTGGCATGTGCTTGTAGTCCCAGCTACTTGGAAGACTGAGGTGGGAGGATTGCTTGAACCAGGAGGTGGAGGCTGCAGTGAGCCATGATCACACCACTGCATTCTAGCCTGAGTGACAGAGAAAGACCCTGTCTCAAAATATAAAGAAAGAAAAAAGAAATTTCCTTTTAGAAACCTGCTCAATTATCTTTAACCTTACATTTTGTCAAACTAAGTAAAATATTCTATAAATTTTTCTACCTTAACTTAGTTATTTTGTAAAATTGTCCCCCCATTAGTTAATAAATTCTTAAATATGACATCTTTTATTTATTGTGTATTATTCACTATTCTTTAATCAGAATCTGTAAAAATCCCCCTTTTTAAAAAACTATCTTATAATGAAGTTAGTTTGTGGCTTTCTGGTGACAAGAAAATCAGTATAATTATTTACTAATTCTCTCTTTCTGATCTAGATTTCCAAAGCACAAGGAACACATAACTCTGATCAAAGTGAAATATGTAAACTACAAAATATTATTAAGGTAAGTCAAATTGTTGATTGATGGTGGGAGTTATGCATCTAAATCTGCTTATAAAAGCATAGGCCTGAATTAGTAAAGGTCTCAGTTATAAAAGTCGTTATCATTCTATAGATTATGATACTTCTTTTTCTTTTTTTTTTTTTTTTTTTTTTTTTGAGACGGAGTCTTGCTCTGTCGCCCAGGCTGGAGTGCAGTGGCCGGATCTCGGCTCACTGCAAGCTCCGCCTCCCGGGTTCACGCCATTCTCCTGCCTCAGTCTCCCGAGTAGCTGGGACTACAGGCACCTGCCACCTCGCCCGGCTAGTTTTTTATATTTTTTAGTAGAGACGGGGTTTCACCGTGTTAGCCAGGATGGTCTCGATCTCCTGACCTCGTGATCCGCCCGTCTCGGCCTCCCAAAGTGCTGGGATTACAGGCTTGAGCCACCATGCCCGGCCTTATACTTCTTTTTCTTTTAGAGAGAGGGTCTCACTGTGTCACCCCGACTGGAGTGCAGTGGCATGATCAGGTCACTACAGCCTCATACTCCTGGGTTCAGGTGATCCTCCTGCCTTAGCTTCCCATGTAACTGGGACTACAGGCACACATGCCACTATGCCTGGCTAATTTTTTTCTGATTTTTTTCTATAGATGGGGCTTGCTAATGGTGCCCAGGCTGGTCTCAAACTTCTGGCCTCAAGCCATCCTCCTGCTTCGGCCTCCCAAAACTGGGATTCCAGGCATGAGCCAATGGGCCTGGCCAATTTTTTAAAAATTTTGTTGATCTTCTTTATTATTTATGGCAAGTAAAGTATATAAAAATCTCTGTCTTTCCAGAATCATTTGGTTTTGAACATTTATTACGGAGCTTATCTTTCGTAAGTCTCTATACTCTATTGTATCTTGTAAAACTGTCTTTATTAAAACATAATTGCAGGCTTGCTGAAGTTTCAAGGTTTAGGGTTAAAGGATATGGACAAAATAAAATACTAATATCATGCGTTGGAAATACTTATTTTACCTTAGCAGTAGAATTTTGCTAATTTGTGTCATTTATTCTTTCTTTTTCTTTTTTTTTTTTTTTGAGACAAAGTCTCGCTCTGTTGCCCAGGCTAGAGTGCAGGGCAGTGGCGCAATCTCAGCTCACTGCAAGCTCCACCTCCTGGGTTCACGCCATTCTCCTGCCTCAGTCTCCCAAGTAGCTGGGACTACAGGCGCCCACCACCACGCCTGGCTAATTTTTTGTATTTTTAATAGAGATGGGGTTTCACTGTGTGAGCCAGGGTGGTCTCGATCTCCTGACCTCGTGATCCACTCGCCTCAGCCTCCCAAAGTGCTGGGATTACAGGCGTGAGCCACCACACCCGGCCAATTATTATTTCTTTAAAGAAAAGTCTTAGTTGCATATATTATTGTGGCAGTGAATTATTTTTATTGTTAAAATTGTTGTCAGATATAGAATTTTTAGTTTTGGGTTCATTATTATTCCAATACTAGAGTGGACAGAATCCAGATCAGACCTGTGTTTGAATCCTGGCTGTATTATTTATGTGCTGTGCTAACTTTGGGCAAGTTACTTCTGTTTTATTATTAATAGAGACTATCATAATACCTATCTTGTAGGATTGTTTTGAGGTTTAAATGTAAAGCTCTTAGCCCAGTGCTGGCACTTAAGTAAGAAGTTAATTTATAGATTAGGATTTTTTTTTTCTTTTTTTTTCCATAAGAGCATCAATTTTTCCATAGATTAGGATTTTTGGTTGCAAGCAACAAAAACCATCTCAGGCCAAGCAAAGCAAAAGAGGATTTACTGGAAGAACCCAGGGTAGTCCATCCGCAGGATTGAAGGAGGAGTTGAATATTTTGGCCTCAGGGTGGATAGGAGTGGGTAGAGTGTTAGGAATCTGGGTGGCGGGACCCAGTAGACAGACTCTTGAGAGGGCACCTGTCCTGGTGCTTCCCGTCAAACCAGTTTCCCTAGTTGATGGACTCAGCTCAAGATCCAGGTTCCTGTGAGAGACACAGTGAGCTCAACTTGGGTAGGAAGGCGCCAGGTTGACAGTTTGGGAGTTCCTTTCCTGGTGAAAGGGAAGGCTGAGTGAGAGGGTGGAAGTAGTGGAACAGCAGGTACAGATTGGTCAGAGGGGTGATACTGGTATTGGGGGAATGTGTCATTAGGAAAAGGAGAAGTTCATGGTCACAGATATTAAAGAAAAGACATTTTTACTCATCATTTGTTTCAGCCTTTTCTTGCTGATGTTCCCTCATTAGAAGTAGAAAAACTGTTTTTGAGACCTAGGAAAGGAAAGGGTGAAGTTGTTCAGAATTGTCCTAATTTGGGGTCCGTGTTTAAATTCTTTTCAGCCTTAACATGTTCTGAGAATTCTTTTTAATAATGCAGACTTTTGGACAACAGTTAAATATATGGCTTATATAAATTTATTGATTATAAATGTGAATAACTTTGTTTTTATTTTTTAAGGAACTAAAACAGAACCGAAGTCAGGAAATTGATGACCATCAACATGAAATGTCAGTACTGCAGAATGCACACCAACAGAAATTGACAGAAATAAGTCGACGACATCGAGAAGAATTAAGTGACTATGAAGAACGAATTGAAGAACTTGAAAATCTGTTACAACAAGGTTATTAGTTTTCTTTCTTTCTTTTTTTTGAGATGGAGTCTCCCTCTGTTGCCCAGGCTGGAGTGCACTGGCGCGATCTCTGCTCACTGCAACCTCCGCCCCCCAGGTTCAAGCAATTCTCCTGCCTCAGCCTCCCAAGTAGCTAGGATTACAGGTGCCCGCCACCATGCCCAGCTAATTTTTGTATTTTTAGTAGAGATAGGGTTTTGCCATGTTGGCCAGGCTGTTCTCTTACTCCTGACCTTGGGTGGTCCACCTGCCTCAGCCTCCCAAAGTGCTAGGATTACAGGCATGAGCCACTGTGCCTGGCCAGTTGATAGTTTTATTAATTTAACATATTAGATGACATAATTAAATGATAGACCTAGCATTCTAAGACCAGGACAGTGCTGTAAACTTGCACTAAGTTATAAAGAAGAGTAAATGACTAGTTCTGCTTATCTGCCAGAAATTTGCAGTGGCACCTCTCCTTTTAAGATTTTGTGACTGGGAGTGGTGGCTTATGGCTATAACCCCAGCATTTTGGGAAGCCAAGGTGTGTGGATCACTTGAGGCCAGGAGTTTGAGACCAGCCTGGCCAACATGGCGAAACCCCATCTCTACTAAAAATACAAAAATTAGCAGACGTAGTGGTGCTCGCCTATGGTCCCAGCTACTCGGGAGGGTGAGGTGGGAGGATCACTTGAGCCCAGGAGGCAGAGGTTGCAGTGAGCTGAGATGGCACCACTGCCCTCCAGCCTGAGCAACAGAGTGAGATTCTATCTCAAAAAAAAAAAAATTATGTGAAAATGGAAATGTCCTTTTTGCCTTTGTGGTAAATAGTTATAATTTATAGATTTCTTTGCATTATTTGGTGATAATACTTTGGTAATAAATGATTAAAGATATTATCACTTTCTTTCAAACTAAGAGACATAGGCCTTTATGTAGTTGATTCAAAGATTTTCCCCAAACTTATTTATTTTAAAACACTTAGTTCATTATAGTAATTTAACTCTTAAGCTTTCCAAATTCTGAACTGTCTTAAATCTCTTAGTTGTATATAGCAAGCCGTTTATTTCTTGGTACTTGACATTTGATGTCCTTGTTTTTTGTTTATGTTCTAGGTGGCTCTGGAGTTGTAGAAACTGATATCTCTAAAATTTATGAGATGCAAAAAACTATTCAAGTTCTACAAACAGAAAAAGTGGAGTCTACCAAAAAAATGGAAGAACTTGAGGATAAAATAAAAGATATAAGTAAAAAATTATCTTCTGCAGAAAATGACAGAGATACTTTGAGGAGAGAACAAGAACAGCTAAATGTGGAAAAGAGACAAATAATGGAAGAATGTGAAAACTTAAAATTGGAATGTAGTAAATTGCAGCCTTCTGCTGTGAAGCAAAGGGATACCGTGACAGAAAAGGAAAGAATTCTTGCCCAGAGTGCATCAGTGGAAGAAGTGTTCAGACTACAACAAGCACTGTCTGGTATACAGTCTTTGGAACTTATTTCAGATTGCTGTTTCATTGCATAGTGGTTGTTTTTAGAGACAGATGCTTCACTAACTGAATACTTAGTGGAAACGGCATATTCCTGGAAATGACTGTGTGTCATTTGGGTAGAATTGTGTGGTTTGGATTCAGTGTAAGAGTTAATAGATTGCAAATAGGAATTTCCTGTTAAAAAGGATTAAGTATTGCTATACTTTCTGTAACTCATCACAGCCCACATCCTCCAGTTAGGGAATACAGCCTTTCTTCTTCAAAGTCAGTTGTTACCTGTTTGAAATGATCTCCTATATCCAAGCAAAGCCCTGAGTGCTTAGAGCCATAGGTCTTCCACCATTTTCTATGCTCATGATGATATTTAGTTACTATACCAGTATTCTGTGTTACAAAAAATTAGTACTAAATGAAATAGGCCAAACACCAGTAAATAAAATACATTTTAAAGTAATTGTACTTATGTTTTAAAAAATGTTTACTTATTTAAAAAATAAATTTACTTATGTAAGAATAATACATTTACTTATTTATCATGTTGGGTGATCCAGATGAGTTTATTTGCCTGAAAAACCCACTGCCTTAGTCCTTCCTCTTTTTTCTATTTCCATTTCCACAGAATTACTTCAGCCAGTCATAATTGCTTTTTGCCTATGTTAACTATGGCAGCTCTCTGAATGGAGCAGAACAGCATAGTGGTTAAGGACATGACTGGGTTGGAATTGAGCTCTATCACTAATTAGCTGACCTTGGACAGGTTAACATTTCTATGCGTTGGTTGTTTCATCTATAGGGTTGGGATAATAATGGTATCTTCCTTGTAGTTTTAGTAATGAGGATTATATGAGTTACTATCTGCCACTCTTTAGGATAGTGTCTAGCCGATAGTAGATGTTGAAGAGTTAGCGTTTTTTTTGGTTGTTTTTTTGAGACGGAGTCTCGCTCTGTAGCTCAGACTGGAGTGCAGTGGCATGATCTCGGTTCACTGCAACCTCTACCTCCTGGGTTCAAGTGATTCTCCTCCCTCAGACTCCCAAGTAGCTGGGACTACAGGCATGTGCCACCATGCCCAGCTAATTTTTGTATTTTTCGTAGAGATGGGGTTTCACCATTTTGGCCAGGATGGTCTCGATCTCTTGACCTTATGATCCACCCGCCTCCGTCACCCAAAGTGCTGGGATTATAGGCGTGAGCCACTGCCCCCAGCTGAAGAGTTAGCTTTTAAAATTCTCTGTTCTCCACGATTCCTTCAGTCTATTTTTTTCATTCTGCAGCCAGAATAATTTGTCAGAAATGCAAAGCAGGTTACTCCCCTGCTTTTAGTACTTTATAGCTCCCTGTGAACTTCAGGATAATGTTTAAATTTCTTAGACGTGATAATGTCTCTCATGATCTAGTTCCTGCCTACCTCTTCAGTTTCAACTATTCCCATGCTCCTGCATTCTAAACTTGAGCCATATTGAATTTTCTATAGCTCCTTAAACGAGCAATGTTGCCTCTTCACTCTCTTACCCTTGCATTTTCTGCTTTCTCTGTGTGGGGTGTCCCTATGGCTCTTTTAGCCGACTCTCAGTATATTGATTCAGTGCAGGTATTAACCTCCCCTGAGAAGTACCTAGCACTGCCACTTCTTGGCCCCATTTGCTCCTCCTAGTCTGGATTAGGTGTTTACCCTGTTTGTTCTTGTAGCATCCTGTGCTTGCTCTGTCATACTGTGTTATAATCCTGTGCTTACTAATTTTTCTTCCTCTCTAAGTTGTAAGTTCTTCGAGAGCAAAGGCTAAGTTTTTCCAGCTTTTTGTCTGGCACCTGGCCTCATAGTAAATGCTAAATATTCCTGAGTGAATGTCAAATCAATGATTTCAGCTGTGTTTTTTTGTGTACCTCTTCTATTTATGGATCTGTCTATAATAACAGATTGAATGGTCTTTTTCTAAGCATTCACATCTAAATCACATTAGATAAATGAGAGATTATGGTATTGTGGTGGTATAAATATACATAATAAAATATTACTTTTAAATTGTTTTCCTCCAGTCTTAAACCATGTACTATTTCCTGCTTCTCAAACTAGTCAATTCATGTTGAAACCTGGTTGTCATTAGCATTTTTATCAAGGCAATAACTTGCGACTCATCCACAATACAATTTTAATTTTTTCTTATACTTATCCATAGAATTGGATTTTAATGTGGTTTTTAACAGGCATTTATGATTTATTTGATACGACAAAACAGGAATACAAATACGTGTTTCACTCAGAACTGTTACTGCTTTTGCCGTTGGTGCTTAGATATACACTTTGTTTTAATTGGGTTACATTTCTGAGTTTAATATTGAAGATAATAGGTTACTCTAAATAATTTTAATGTCAGGTTCATTTGCTGTTTTTGCAGATGCCGAAAACGAAATAATGAGATTGAGTAGTTTAAACCAGGTAAATTAATTTTGACAAATGTTATGTGCATAGAGACAGTGGAAGCAGATCCTATACCAAGTGGGAAATGAGTTTTAATTTTCCTTAAGAGATTCAAAGAGTTATTTCTTTTCTAATAATTAGAAGTTATTTTGTAAATATATTTTTATATTTTTTCAAGCATAATAAGGAAGTCTTCTGTAAGAGTGTCGAAAATGCATGACTGGTTTCATTCATTTTACACACTCTTATAAGTGTTGCATTCTTTTTTTTTAATTTATTTTTGTGATGGAGCCTTTTGCTTGTCACCCAGGCTGGAGTCGCAATCTCGGCTCACTGCAGCCTCCGCCTCCTGGAGTCAAGCGATTCTCCTGTCTCAGCCTCCCGAGTAGCTGGGACGACAGGAGCATGCCACTGCACCCGGTTAATTTTTTGTATTTTTAGTAGAGACAGGGTTTCACTGTGTTAGGATGGTCTTGATCTCCTGGCCTTGTGATCCGCCTGCCTCAGCCTCCCAAAGTGCTGGGATTACAGGCATGAGCCACCGCGCCCGGCTAAGTATTGCATTCTTATAATTATTACATATCATTAAAGAAATACTGAATAGAAACACATAGTTGTATAGATTGCCTGCTTTTTTATAAACTGGAAATTTCTTGTTACCTGAAAACACTGCTTTAATATTTTTGTAGGATAACAGTCTTGCTGAAGACAATCTGAAACTTAAAATGCATATCGAAGTTTTAGAAAAAGAGAAGTCATTGCTGAGTCAAGAAAAGGTTGGTGCTGTAAAAATGGGGGCAGACATGGGGAGGGGGGAGGGGGGAGGGATTGCATTGGGAGTTATACCTGATGTAAATGACGAGTTGATGGGTGCAGCACACCAACATGGCACAAGTATACATATGTAGCAAACCTGCACGTTGTGCACATGTACCCTACAACTTGAAGTTTAATAATAATAAATAAATTTAAAAAAAAAAAAAATGGGGGCAGAATTAAAATGTTGTGTGTTATAGTTCACAGCCAAAGGCCAGTTGATATCCAAATGGAATGTTGAGTAATTGAGCTCAAGTCCTTAGAATAAAGCTGATCTCATTGACACTTGTCAGGCTAGGTGGAAGTACCTGGGCAAAGTTCAGAGTATAAGTGGCTGGCTTGAGTTCATATTTAGAAATAAGCTAGTAGGCACACAGAAACAAGCAGAAAAGATAGGTGGAGGTTCTGTTTTGGTTTCTGATGATGTCCTGACAGCAGGAGCAGACACAGGTAGGTCAGGAGGTCTGGAGTGGCATACTGTAATAACTGTGTAGGCTATTTATGTGCTTCAGAATGTGTCCATTTTGGTGGACAGTACTTTCTTAGTGGTGAGGCATACAGAGCGACAGTTTCAGTGGTAGAAAGAAGTTAAATTTTTTTTTTTTTTTTTTTTTTTTAATGAGATGGAGTTTCACTCTTGTTGCCCAGGCTGGAGTGCAATGGCGCAATCTCGGCTCACCGCAACCTCTGCCTCCCGGGTTCAAGCGATTCTCCTGCCTCAGCCTCTTGAGTAACTGGGATTACAGGCGCCAGCCACCACACCCAGCTAATTTTGTATTTTTAGTAGAGACGGGGTTTCTCCGTGTTGGTCAGGCTGGTCTCGAGCTCCCAACCTCAGGTGATCTGCCTACATCGGCCTCCCAAAATGTTGGGATTATAGGTGTGAGCCACCACACCTGTCAAAAGAAGGTCTTTATAGGGGTACAGAGCAACAGTTTCAGTGGTAGAAAGAAGGTCTTTATTGTATGTGTTCATAGCAGGAAGAAGTAAGATTCTGAAAGGGAAAGGTATTTAGAAGTATTTTTATGTTTGAACCACTTGGGTGAAATTTATTGGCTAAGGCAGGTGCTTAAATGTAGGAGAGTTGTAAGCTAGTATTATTAAGTTAAAGACCAGTGTCTTAATTTAAATTCTTAATTTTAAAAAGTGATGCATATTTTCTGATATGTGTGTTCAGAAAACATACATACTGAAAACCTTCAGACAGTATGAGTATCTTTCGTACCTCCGTGGCTTGGCCTCTTTCCCAGAGGCAGTCTCTGTTACCAGTTTCTAGTGTTTCTTTCTGGACTATGTCTATGCATGTATGATTGTATATATCAGTAGCTTTAAAAAATACAAATCTCAGCTTATTATAAATACCCTTCTTACATACCACATTTCCAACATCTTTCCACATTAGTATATATACAGTGTTTCTCAAAGGGACTGCTATTGGCATTTAAGCAGGAAAATTCTTAGTTGTGTGCGCTACCCTGTGTATTGTGGGATTTTTGTTGCCACTCTTTCTACCCACTATGTGCTAGCAGTAGCTCCCCATCGTTTTAAAAATTACTATATTATATATATTTTATCTTTCCTGTTTTTGCTCCCATTGTATTCTGCTCTTTACCTAACTGACCTAGTAGTTTGTAGTTGGCAGAACTCTCTGCACTTATCTGGTAGGACCTGTAACCTTTTCATGATGTGTTTGGTTTCAGTAGCTAGTTCTGATAGCTGTTTCTCCTTTCTTTTGATGTTAAGTAGTCCATGAATTGTGTCTGCTTACTGATTAAGAATACCAAAAGTGCCTATGAGGGCCGAGTGTGGTGACTTATGCTGTAATCTCAGCCCTTTGGGAGGCCAAGGTGGGATGATTACTTGAGGCCAGGAGTTTGAGACCAGCCTGGGCAACATAGTGAGACACCATATCTACAAAAAAACACTAAATAATTTTTTTAAAAAGTACCTATGAGGCTGTCTGTGCTTTTAAGATCCACCTGAAGAAAATTTTTGTGGTTCTCCTAATTGGAACAGATAACTTTAGAAGGACTTAAGAGAATGCTATTTCCATCTTTCAGCTGTAGTCAGAATAAATTTTTGAATTGGAAGGAAATAGGAATTGTGATACAGATGCTCCAGTATAGCTTGTATCAGATCTCTGTTTTTTCAACTAACTCTCCAACGCAATGTTGAGTTTCTTTTATAAAGTTTCTATTAGGCTGTTTATTTGAAGGAATTTGAGATTCTTATTTTTTTTAATTTTATTTTTTAGAGAGAGAGAGTCTTGCTATATTGCCCAGGTTAGAGTACTGTGGCTGATCCCGGCATGATCATAGTGCACTACAGCCTTGAACTCCTCGGCTCAAGTAATCCTTCTGCCTCAGCCACCTAAGTAGCCTTCTGGAACTATAGATAAATGCCATCACGCCTGGTTCAAGACTCTTATTTAAAGTAGATTCCATATGGGTTTGATGTTTAAAAATCTGTCAGTGAAAGAAGGCTTTAATATATAGTTTATTACAAACATTATAACTAGAGACTGAAATAATGTCGAAGCATAGAGAACTGTCCCACTTCTGAGATTTTGGAGAAAGCATTAAATACCAGGTAGTAGACTATGAAATGTATATATACTATCTTTAGGAATGTCAGGTGTGACAGAGGGGAACCTAGTCCATGCTCAGGTTAGAAGGTAAAGGAAGGAAGGAGGATTATTTCTTGGGTCAAGAAAAAGTTCCATATTCTGACAGAAGCAAAAGTAATAAAGGAAATTCCTTTAGTAAGAGAAAAGAAACCTTTTATTTTCTAATTAGAGAGGCTAAACGTTTGGGTGAAGGAGCATTGATTTTTTTATATTTTTATTTAGTCTGAGGCTGTTAATGACTGGATGTTAGAGAATGGAAGTGAGGAAGGCAGAAAGACTTGGGGACATTTTGAAAAGTATGTATGTACGGTGGGTGGGGCCAGGGGATGGACAAAGGGTAGCCACAGTGGAGCAGGATAGGAGAGGCTCTCAAATGGGAATGTTTTTATAAAGAAAAACTTGGCGCTAGAGGACAAACTTAGAGTCGTTGCATCTGTCTAGGGTTGTAGAAGTTTTGCTTGAAGCTACAAGTAAAATTGCACATGAATGAAGGATGTGGTTTGTTGAATTTTACATACAATTATTGAGGTATTGTTCAGTACTGTTTCCAATATAGAGCACTCAAAATAGATTCCCAAGTTTTGCTTCTATGTATGTTTTTAATCTTTTGGTGTCTCCATTTGAAAGTATGTGTTGCTTTTTTCCTTTTATCATTTCAGGAAGAACTTCAGATGTCACTTTTAAAATTGAACAATGAATATGAAGTAATTAAAAGTACAGCTACAAGAGACATAAGTTTGGATTCAGAATTACATGACTTAAGACTTAATTTGGAGGCAAAGGAACAAGAACTCAATCAGAGTATTAGTGAAAAGGAAACACTGATAGCTGAGATAGAAGAATTGGACAGACAGAATCAAGAAGCTACAAAGGTAACACTGTATTAAATACAGTGAGGCAGCACATTCTACTAAGTAGACTAAACACTGGATTAACATGCAGAAATGATGGGTTTGATTTAATTAATGTTTTAGTTCATAGAGATTGACAAACCTCTTTGGTAAAGTGCTAGATAGTAAATATCGTTGTCCTTGTAGGCCATATAGTCTCAGTCTACTCAACTCTGTTGTGATATCAACAAATGAGTATGACCATGTTTCAGTAAAATTTTATTTACAAAACAGGCAGCATCCCTGAGTTGGCCAATCGCTATAGTTTGTTGACTCTTACTCTAGTGTAGAGTTAAAAATAAACAATATGCCTGGCGCGGTGGTTCACACCTGTAATCCTAGCACTTTGGGAGGCAGGACGGGTGGATCACAAGGTCAGGAGTTCAAGATCAGCCTGGTCAAGATGGTGAAACCCCATCTCTACTAAAAATACAAAAAATTAGCCGGGCGTGGTGGCAGGTGCCTGTAATCCCAGCTACTCAGGAGGCTGAGGCAGAGAATTGCTTGAATCCAGGAGGCAGAGGTTGCAGTGAGCCAAGATCATGCCACTGCACTCCAGCCTGGGCAACAGAGCGAATCCGTCTGAAAAAAAAAAAAAAAAAAAAAAAAAAAATGGCAAGATGGATTTGCTGTAAAATAGTAATAAGTAATTTCACAGTGGGTGTTTTGATAGAAAAACAATGTTTTGAAGAAGGATTAGAAATATCTGAGGATTATTCTTTTATTATATATGAGATTTTATAAAATTTTCTTTAAGTAGTAAAATGAGAACATGTTGTGAAGTCACCATGCAAATTTTTCTTTCAGCACATGATTTTGATAAAAGATCAGCTATCAAAGCAACAAAATGAAGTAGATAGCATCATCAGTAAACTGAAACAAGATCTAAATGATGAAAAAAAGAGAGCTCATCAACTTGAAGATGATAAAATGGACATTACTAAAGAGTTAGATGTACAGAAAGAAAAGCTACTTCAAAGTGAAGTGGCCCTAAATGATTTACATTTAACCAAGCAGAAACTTGAGGACAAAGTAGAAAATTTAGTAGATCAGCTAAATAAATCACAAGAAAGTAATGTAAGCATCCAGAAGGAGAATTTAGAACTTAAGGAGCGTATTAGACAAAATGAGGAGGAGCTTTCTAGAATAAGAAATGAGTTAACTCAGTCTCTAAATCAAGAAGACTCTGATAGTAATTTTAAGGATACCTTACTTAAAGAAAGAGAAGCTGAATTTAGAAACTTAAAGCAAAATCTTTCAGAATTAGAACAGCTCAATGAAAATTTAAAGAAAGTTGCTTTTGATGTCAAAATGGAGAATGAAAAGTTAGTTTTAGCATGTGAAGATGTGAGGCATCAGTTAGAAGAATCTCTTGCTGGTAACAAGCAGCTTTCTCTGGAAAAAAATACTATTGTGGAGACTCTAAAAATGGAAAAAGGAGAGATAGAAGCAGAATTGTGTCGGGCTAAAAAGAGGCTATTGGAAGAAGCAAACAAGTATGAGAAAACCATTGAAGAACTGTCAAATGCATGTAATTTGAATACCTCTCCCTTACAGCTGGAGCATGAGCATTTAATTAAACTCAATCAAAAGAAAGACATGGAAATAGCAGAACTCAAAAAGAATATTGAACAAATGGATACTGACCATAAAGAAACTAAGGACATTTTGTCATCTAGTTTAGAAGAGCAGAGGCAGTTGGCACAACTTATAAAGGAGAAAGAAATTTTTATTGAAAAGCTTAAAGAAAGAAGTTCAAAGCTGCAGGAGGAATTGGATAAATATTCTCAGGCCTTACGAAAAAATGAAATTTTAAGACAGACCATAGAGGAAAAGGACCGAAGTCTTGGATCCATGAAAGAAGAAAATAATCATCTGCAAGAAGAATTGGAACGACTCAGGGAACAGCAGAGTCGAACCGCACCTGTGACTGACCCTAAAACCCTTGATAGTGTTGCTGAACTAGCATCTGAGGTGTCTCAACTGAACATGATCAAGGATAATCTTGAAGAGGAAATTAAACATCATCAAAAGATAATTGAAGATCAAAACCAGAGTAAGATGCAACTACTTCAGTCTTTACAAGAGCAAAAGAAGGAAATGGATGAGTTTAGATACCAGCATGAGCAAATGAACGCCACACACACCCAGCTCTTTTTAGAGAAAGATGAGGAAATTAAGAGTTTGCAAAAAACAATCGAACAAATCAAAACCCAGTTACATGAAGAAAGACAGGACATTCAAACAGATAACTCTGATATTTTTCAAGAAACAAAAGTTCAGAGCCTTAATATAGAAAACGGAAGTGAAAAGCATGATTTATCTAAAGCTGAAACGGAAAGATTAGTGAAAGGAATAAAGGAGCGAGAACTGGAGATTAAACTTCTAAATGAAAAGAATATATCGTTAACTAAACAGATTGATCAGTTATCCAAAGATGAAGTTGGTAAACTAACTCAGATTATTCAGCAGAAAGACTTGGAGATACAAGCTCTTCATGCTAGAATTTCTTCAACTTCCTATACTCAAGATGTTGTTTACCTTCAACAGCAACTGCAGGCTTATGCTATGGAAAGAGAAAAGGTATTCGCTGTTTTGAATGAGAAGACTAGGGAAAATAGCCATTTAAAAACAGAATATCACAAAATGATGGATATCATTGCTGCCAAGGAAGCAGCTCTCATCAAACTGCAAGATGAAAATAAAAAATTGTCTACTAGATTTGAAAGTAGTGGCCAAGATATGTTTAGAGAAACTATTCAGAATTTATCACGTATCATTCGAGAAAAAGACATTGAAATAGATGCTCTAAGTCAGAAATGTCAGACTTTATTGGCAGTTTTACAGACATCCAGCACTGGTAATGAGGCTGGAGGTGTTAATAGTAATCAATTTGAGGAGCTTCTACAGGAACGTGACAAGTTAAAACAGCAAGTAAAGAAAATGGAAGAGTGGAAGCAGCAGGTAATGACCACGGTACAAAATATGCAACACGAGTCAGCCCAGCTTCAGGAAGAACTTCACCAACTTCAGGCACAGGTTTTGGTTGACAGTGATAATAATTCTAAATTACAAGTGGACTATACTGGCCTGATCCAAAGTTATGAGCAGAATGAAACCAAACTCAAAAATTTTGGGCAGGAATTAGCACAAGTTCAGCACAGCATTGGGCAGCTTTGCAATACCAAGGATCTTCTTTTAGGAAAACTTGATATTATTTCACCCCAGCTGTCTTCTGCATCATTGCTTACTCCCCAATCTGCACAGTCTCTTAGAGCAAGTAAGTCTGATGTATTGAGTCAATCTTCTGAATTGCTTCAGCAAGAGGTAGAAGAGCTAAGAAAATCACTACAGGAAAAAGATGCAACAATTAGAACTCTCCAGGAAAATAATCACAGATTGTCTGATTCGATTGCTGCCACCTCAGAGCTAGAAAGAAAAGAACACGAACAAACCGATTCAGAAATCAAGCACCTAAAGGAGAAACAAGATGTTTTACAAAAGTTACTTAAGGAAAAAGACCTCTTAATCAAAGCCAAAAGTGATCAACTACTTTCTTCCAATGAAAATTTCACTAACAAAGTAAATGAAAATGAACTTTTGAGGCAGGCAGTAACAAACCTGAAGGAGAGAATATTAATTCTAGAGATGGACATTGGCAAACTAAAAGGAGAAAATGAAAAAATAGTGGAAACATCCAAGGGAAAGGAAACAGAATATCAAGCATTACAAGAGACTAACATGAAGTTTTCTATGATGCTGCGAGAAAAAGAGTTTGAGTGCCACTCAATGAAGGAGAAGGCTCTTGCTTTTGAACAGCTATTGAAAGAGAAAGAACAGGTATGTTCTGGATGGAGTATTGTAGAAGTAAGTTGGAGGTGGAGGAGACTTTTTTTAATATTATTTCATTTATATTGTCTTTGAAGAGGACTGTGCATTTGTTCATTCAGAAATATTTATTTCAAGGTGTGATTCGTTCTAAATAAATTTTCCTCAGAGACATCTGGAAGTTCTCCCTCAAATTGTTAGATACTTCCAAATGCTTTTGGTAGTACATTAATTTTTTACAGATTAAGTAGTACTTAATATTTTTCTTTAGAAAACAAGTGTGTCATGAGAGAATTTTGAAGTCACTTCAATTTAATCAAATTTTAGGTATATTTCAGTAGCTGTTAACATTTTAGAGATTCTTATATATAAGGAAAGCACTGTGAAATACACATACATCTTTAACCATCTGCAGTAAAAAATACATTTTACATCGTGACACAGTAAGAGTGTGTGTGTGTAACTGAAAAGTTTCAGGAACCAGAAATTGCTCTTATTACATGTGATACTCTGTTTGAAAAAGAATGTGCTGGCTGGGCGCGGTAGCTTATGCCTGTAATCACAGCAGTTTGAGAGGCCAAGGTGGGTGGATAACCTGAGGTCAGGAGTTTGAGACCAGCCTGACCAACGTAGTGAAACCCCGTCTCTACTAAAAAAAATACAAAAAATGAACCGGGCATGGTGGTGGGCAATCCCGGCTACTTGGGAGGCTGAGGCAGGAGAATCACTTGAACCCGGAGGCAGAAGTTGCAGTGAGCTGAGATCGCGCCATTACACTCCAGCCTGGGTGACAGAACAAAACTCTGTCTCAACAAAAAAGAAAAAGAAAAAAAAAAAAGAATGTGCTATTCAGGTAGCACATTCGGTTAGAAATTTTTAAAAAATAATAAGAAAATATGCTGAATGACTTTAAATTGATTTTTATGAACTGAGTAGTCACAACCTGGAATTTGAAAAGTATTAGCCCTGGGTAATGCTTTTCTCATAATAGGCTCAGTAAATAATCTAATCCCAGTCCTGTCACTGATGTGACTTTGGGTATATTTTGACCTTATTGGTTTATTCAGCCGTATATAACAGGAGGTCATAGCAGTTATATGGATAGTGCCAGTAGCTTTTGATAATATTTAAATTTTTATATGCAGTTCATTTTAGTAAGAATTATTGAGGATTTCCTGTTACACTATATACTATACTATATAAAACTTTTGATAATATTTAAATTTTTATATACAATTCATTTTAGAAAGAATTATTGGGGATTTCCTGTTACACTATATACTATACTGTACTATATGATGGTCCTGTGTAGGGCTTGTTCGGTGGCGTATAGGGTGCTGTGTAGGGCTTGTTCGGTGGTGTATAGGGTGCTGTGTAGGGCTTGTTTGGTGGTGCCTTTTTGCTGTGATTTCTGTGCTTTTAGTGGCAGAAATTTTGAAAAGAGATGATAGGCAAAACAAAATATTCAACTAGCACTTCTTGAGCACCACATGCTGCCAGGCATGAGATACAAAGTGATTTAACTTCATTTGCCAGTGCCCGATTTAAAAATTAAATGAATTAATAATTTAATGAAGAAAATGTCTCTTTTAAGATGTGTGTGTGTGTTTTTTTTTAAAGCTAAAATTTTTTCTTTCCAAAAGGGCAAGGCTGGAGAGTTAAATCAGCTTTTAAACGCAGTTAAATCAATGCAGGAGAAGACAGTTGTGTTTCAACAGGAGAGAGACCAAGTCATGTTGGCCCTGAAACAAAAACAAATGGAAAATATTGCCCTACAGAATGAGGTATACTTTCACTTTAAAGGAATTATGAATCAACAAGTTTAATAACTATTAAGAGAACTGGAAAGATGACCAATGAAAATGAATTTCTCTCTTAGGTGATTTTTCTTAGTCTTCCTCGGCTGTGCAGTAGTAAAATTTTAATCTCCCATGGTGCATTTTATTTCAGTCTTCAAAAGTGAAAACCATGGCATATCTCGGATATAAGAAAAATTGCCCACCCATACAGTATGAAAAAAATGAGATTTGCTGAAAAAGTGGCCTGTCACAAAGAGTACTTTATACAGAATGAATTTTATAATTCCATTTTCCATTATAGCCACAGGGAATTAAAATTTGCGAAGTAAAGCTTCCAGATGCATATTCAAGATGATTTCGAGATATTTTTTTCCTAGCATAAATACACTTTGCAGTATGAGAAATTGGTATGTAATTAATACACTTCAATAATGGGAAAAATATTTGATGACAATGGTTTGTAGTGGGGTAAGGGAACATTTTGTAGAAGAAAAATAATGTTCTCTGCAGGTTCAACGTTTACGTGACAAAGAATTTCGGTCAAACCAGGAGCTAGAGAGATTGCGTAATCATCTTTTAGAATCAGAAGATTCTTATACCCGTGAAGCTTTGGCTGCAGAAGATAGAGAGGCTAAACTAAGAAAGAAAGTCACAGTATTGGAGGAAAAGCTAGTTTCATCCTCTAATGCGATGGAAAATGCAAGGTAATTGTTTCATTTTTTTTGCATTAACTTTAATTGAACACTTCTTAAATATCAGACTCAGTAAGTATTTTTTGTATGTTAGCTCATTCTTGCAAAATTCATTATCTGTATATTATGGATGAAGAAACTGTAGGTAAAGAGATTTAATAACCTGCCCAAGGTAGGCACAAACAGTGTGTGGGGGTTTCACACTTGAGTCTGTGACTCTTAAGCAGATCTGGCGTTCAAACTCTCTGTGTCTTGTCCGTCACCCTAGATCATTGCCTCTTACCATACCATTTTAGGAGTATAGTTTGAAATTCTGACTGATTTTAATTGGCTCTGTCCAACTCCCAAATAACTATTTATGTGGTTTTATTTTTCATCGAATGATTTAAAGTTGAACAGGGTGTGGATGTTAGAAGGAAGAGAGTAAAGGAAGTAGTAAAGTAGAGACCAAGGTCAGTATGAAGAATTAACTGGGTTTATTAGCACTCTTGAGTGACCTGGTCCCTGTTTATATACTTTAGATTTTTATTTCTCTCAATAAAATTTTTTTCCTGTTGTTTTTTTTTTAAGTTATAAAAAGGTTATATTTTTCATGTTTAGAAAAATCACACAAATCACACAAAGCCCCAAATGCCCAGAGATAATCTTTTTGTGTGCCTTTTTATACTTTCATGTCTGTGTGTATATATTATAAACCCTTTTTAAAGCAAAACTGAGATTATAATATACTGTTTTGTAACCTGTTTCTATCAATAATATGAATGTCAGTACATGTTAAGCCATGTATGTTTGCACTATTTTATGGCTACATAATATGCCATTATTTGGATTTGCCATGATTAACCCAGTCATTTATTACGTTACAGCTTTTCAAAATCACTGTGTATTGTCATATCCCAAGACATGAATTTTTTGTTGATGACAGATTATATCCTTAGTGTTAAGTTTTGAGAAATGGCACTTCTAGATCAAGAAGCATTTTAAAACTTCTGAGATTATACTGCCAAATTATTTTACAAAAAATTGTGTCCATTTGTATTCCTATTTGTTGTATATGCATCTTTTTATTTATCTTTTTGCTATTTATGACCCACAGGGAGATAAAATGAGATAATAGTTTCTATCTGTCTGCAAAGAGATTATAGGCCAATAATGTCAATATTCCTGAGAATTAACCCCTACCCCACCTTTGCAGAGTGTATTATTATACCTTCAGACTCAGCTGAAAAACTTGTTTAAAACGGGGATTAAAACAGTGAGTGATCGTTTGGCTGTATGTTTCACTTTGGCAGAAACGCTATAACGTTCTATATTCTCACTCTTTTTTTGCACTTTTCAAGCCCTTATTTTCTCTTAATTAAAATAGTTTCTAGTCTCTGCACTTTTCGTTTATTTTTCATAATAACTTCCAGAATAACCTTCCTTATATTAGAGCTGTGATCTTGTTACTCCTTTTTTCAAAAACTGGTCTTGACTCAAGGATGGTCCCAGGATCCTACCACCTTAGCCTTTTTTCACATTGTCAGCTACATCCAGCCAAACTGTTTTACTCACTTTCTCAGATAGAGCCACTGTTTTCCAATTTCTTTTTCTTCTGGTTTTTCTTTTCATATGCCTTCTTCTGCCTGAAGAGTGAACCTGATCCCCAGCAAGTTGTTCTGTGAATCGTGCCTATTCTTCAATTCCATTTCTTCCTAAAAGATGCTTTATTTAGCACCCCACTTGTCATATCCAAAAACAAACCTTCCGGGTGTGATGTTTTTCCTTTAAACTTGCATAATACTTAGTTTGAGTCTTGTAGTTTGAGGGCACTTATATTTTAATTTAAGGTACAGGTAATTGTTGACATATCCTATACTGTTTCCCACCCAATGAAATGTAAAGTCACTGGGAGGTAGGAATGGGCCCATTCATTTTCTACCTATCGCATAGCATATATTACACAGAGTTTAATAGCTATTCAGTAAATACTTGTTGTATGAGTAACTCAGATGTACAAACTGGATTACGGTGGTGTGAGCCCTTACTTAACAGTAGTAGTAACACCTGGTATTTGTTAACTTTTAGAGTGCCATCATAACTCATCCCCCTTTCATTCCTACAGTCACCCTTTGAGTGACTGCTAACCAGCAAAGTAGAATAAGGTCCAGAGGTATTTGGGAGCTGAGTTTAGACCTTCTGATGACGAGCTTACACTCTTTCCACAAGAGGGTGCTAATGGGTAAAGTCTCTTCAAAATGAGTTGATCCTAATGATCTTTAATGGGCTGCTCTTGAATAAAAATTTAAACAGAAATTAAAACCCCTGGGAGACTATTGCAGTATTTTGAATGTAATCATTATACATTAAGGAAGTACACCAGTGACATAAGCCTAGATAGGTGCTATATCTGTATCTACTTCTTAGGAATCTCTGGAGTCAGAGATAGAGGTTGTGTTTAATATAGGCAGAAAGAAAGATGATAATAAAAGATAACTAATATTCAGAGCATTTCATCAGTGGGATAGCCTTTGGAAAGTTGTGAGTTCACCGTGAATGCAAAGGGATCAAAGGCAAGGGAGTGTCATAGAATCCATTTTGTATTAAATCGGGAGCTAGACACAATGACTTCCAGGGTTCCTTACAAAACATTTCATGAGTTTTAGAGTTTTAGCCTGGAAGTACAAATTTATTTTTCATAATATATTTTCAAATATATTTAACAGGCTATTCATTTGTACATTTTTCTTTTATTTGTATTTTTTAGAGACAGGATCTCACTCTGTCGCCCAGGCTAGAGTACAGTGGTGTGATCATAGTTCAGTGAAGCCTCAAACTCCTGGGCTCAAGCAGTCCTTTTGCCTTGGCCTCCCAAAGGGCTGGGATTACATGAGAGCCACCTCACCTGGCCTACATTTTTATTTTGCTGACTTTCCTTATTTAACTTAATTCTTAGTCTTTAAAAGGACTGCCATTTGTTCAAAGTCACTTTCACAGGAAGGGTGATTGAATTTACAAAAGCAGGGCAACAAGTACCAGAAGAACTCTTCAAGTTTCTTTGAAATTGAACTTGAATGTAACGCAGTAAAGTGTAGAGAAGATCACATTAGCAGAGGTAGATAGTAGGATGGTAGTTTTCGAGGGAAAGGGGAGTTACTATTTAATGGGTGTGGAGTTTTAATGGGTGTGGAGTTTCAGTGTGAGACGGTCGGGTAGTTTTCGAGGAAAGGGGAGTTACTATTTAATGGGTATGGAGTTTCAGTGTGAGACGGTCGGGTAGTTTTCGAGGAAAGGGGACATTATTTAATGGGTGTGGAGTTTCAGTGTGAGGCGGTCGTGTAGTTTTCGAGGAAAGGGGAGTTAAGCTATTTAATGGGTGTGGAGTTTCCCAGTGTGAGGCGGCCGGTAGTTTTCGAGGGAAAGGAGTTACTGTTTAATGGGTGTGGAGTTTCAGGTGAGGCGGCTCAGGTAGTTTTCGAGGAAAGGGGAGTTACTGTTTAATGGGTGTGGAGTTTCAGTGTGAGGCGGTCAGAAAAGTTCTGGAGATGGATGGTGCTGGTGGTTGTACAACAGTGTGGAAGTACTTAGTGCCACTGTACTGTACACTTAAAACTGATTAAAATGGTAAATTTTCTGTGTATTTTACCATAATAAAAAATGTAGGGAGGATGTTTCATCTTATTAAAGTATCTAAATACTTTGAAATCTAACTTGATTTTAAAGCAATAAGAGGCCGGGCACGGTGGCTCACGCCTGTAATCCCAGCACTTTGGGAGGCCAAGGTGGGTAGATCACCTGAGGTCAGGAGTTTGAGACCAGCCTGGCCAACATGGTGAAAACCCATCTCTACTAAAAATACAAAATTTAGCGGGGCACAGTGGTGGGCACCTGTAACCCCAGCTGCTCAGGAGGCTGAGGCAGGAGAATCGCTAGAACATGAGAGGCGGAGGTTGCGGTGAGCTGTGATTGCGCTACTGCACTCCAGCCTGGGTGACAGAGCGAGGCACTGTCTCAAAAAAATGAAATAAAATAAAGCAATAAGATGTAGGGAAGGTGGCTTCTTCTTGTTGAAGTATCTAAATAGATAGAAGTAGTTTGACTTTTATTCTTCTTGTTTGAAGCCATCAAGCCAGTGTGCAGGTAGAGTCATTGCAAGAACAATTGAATGTAGTCTCCAAGCAAAGGGATGAAACTGCGCTGCAGCTTTCTGTCTCTCAGGAACAAGTAAAGCAGTATGCTCTGTCACTGGCCAACCTGCAGATGGTACTAGAGCATTTCCAACAAGGTAAGCTCTACGGTCACTCTTTCAATGAAGAAAAAGTGTAGTTATTGGTAATTTTGCCTGATTTGAGACCTGTTTTAGATAAGGCATGGGGAAATCTCTGAAAGTTACCCACTGGTAGAGGGGAAGGGTGAGTAGCCATCAAAAAGTTAATTTAGACTCCTTTTACAATTAAGACAAGAAAACAAACTTTATTTAGTAATTACTAAAAATTTGTTTTAGTATCCTATTACCAGTGAGAGGTGAGAGTTGAGGAAATACAAGGAAAGATGATCAAGTAATAAAGAGGAGAATACAAAGAAAGAGAGATACATACATACAAAGAATAGTTAGGTTTTAAGGTAAGGGCTGGAGGTTGAACCTACTTCAGATAATCATCATTAATTACTGTTCTTTGAAATAGTGATTCACATGTTCATAGCAATTCGTCTATGCTTTGAAGTAACTGCATTTTCTAGTACATATGGAAGATACTTTTTTGGAGACACAATAATAGTAACCCGAGCAGTTCTACCCTGAGAACCAAATATACCTTTTCACATTCTACCTCCTATCCTTACATTTACTCACTTTAGATCATTCATCCATCCATTTGTTTATTTGTGCATTCAGTAATTATTGGCAATAAATTAACTGCTAGTTGGGGGAGATAATTAGGGAATATGAGAATGAGGAAGTAACAGGGACTTGTAGTTTTGTGCCCAAGCAAAACTTTAAATTTGTACCTCTGTGTCTTTTCAGGGTTGAAATCTTAAATTTTAGATGTAAGAATTTTTGTCGAGCACAGTGGCTCATGCCTGTAATCCTAGCACTTTGGGAGGCCAAAGGCGGGCAGATCACCTGAGGTCAGGAGTTCAAGACCAGCCTCGCCAATGTGGTGAAACCCCGTCTCTACTAAAAATACACAAATTAGCCAGGCATGGTGGCAGATGCCTATAATCGCAGCTATTCAGGACACTGAGGCAGGGAGAATTGCTTGAACCCGGGAGGCGGAGGTTGCAGTAAGTGAGCCAAGATGACACCACTGCACTCCAGCCTGGGTGACAGAACGAGACTCCATCTCAAAAAAAAAAAAAACAAATTCTTGAGGTCTGCTTTACAGTGTAATGTAATTATTAGAGTGGGTATGTATACAAAGCAGTGTGGAACTGAGACTGTAGAGAAAGCATTGCCAAAGAGGAAATATTTGAGTAGAATTATGAAGGGAGAGAAGAATCTGCAAGATAGACAAGATGGAGTAGTGTTTAGGCAGAAGAAAGTGATCTCATTACTGTAGTACCACTTAACATCATCACTAAAGCGTATATTCTTTTCTGTTTGAGACACTTGGACTGTTTTCGTTACAGTATTAAAATTTCAAATGGCTTAACATTCTAGTTTATCACGATTGCAAAATACTAATGTAACTTTCTCTTCTCTTTAGAGGAAAAAGCTATGTATTCTGCTGAACTCGAAAAGCAAAAACAGCTTATAGCTGAATGGAAGAAAAAGGCAGAAAATCTGGAAGGAAAAGTGATATCATTACAGGTAGGACAAAATAGTTTTCTCTTGTAGGTTTTATTATTCATGAAACAGTTACTTGTAGAGTCTTTGTCTTGGAAATAATCTCCTAAACTGTTCATTTAGTAAATTTTCTACCCTGAATCCCTCTGCTGCAGCCTGACAGTGAACAGGATACCCAGGATTTCCCTAAGGTGTCATAGTTTAGAGTAGACACAGCAAATGCCTCAGCCTCCCAAGTAGCTGGGATTACAGGCATGCACCACCATACCCAGCTAATTTTGTATTTTTAATAGAGATGGGGGTTTCACCATGTTGGTCATGCTGGTCTTGAACTCCTGACCTCAGGTGATCCGCCCACCACCTCAGCCTCCCAAAGTGCTGGGATTACAGGCGAGAACCACTGCACCTGGCGTGTAATTTTCTTTTTTCAACAAAATTTACTGAGCACTCTATTTCACATGGATTAAAACAATATACATAATTCCATTAAATCTTTTTCTTTTATATAATAACATCATCCTTTAAAAGATTTTTCTATTACATGCTACATTTCATACATACAAAAATTATATATAAGGAATAAATAAAAATGAACCCCTATGAAAAGATAGGACACCAAAATAATGTGCTTTTAGATTTAGGAGAAACTTTTTTTTTTTCTTTTTTTTTGGAGACGGAGTCTGACTCTGTCGCCCATATTGGAATGGAGTGGAGTGGTGCAATCTCCACTCACTTCAAGCTCTGCCTCCTAGGTTCATGCCATTCTCCTCCCAAGTAGCTGGGACTGCAGGCGCCTGCCACCACACCCGTCTAAGTTTTTGTATTTTTAGCAGAGATAGGGTTTTACCATGTTAGCCAGGATGGTCTCGATCTCCTGACCTCGTGATCCACCCGCCTCGGCCTCTCAAAGTGCTGGGATTACAGGCGTGAGCCATTGCGCCCGGCTGAGACTTGCTTTTTTAAAGAACTTACCATAGTGTTTATGAGATTCAGTCATATTACTATGTGTTAGTGTATGTAGGTGGTTCGTTATTTTCACTTCTGTATGCATTGCATTAATATATAATTTACACATTTTATTAATAAAGGGTATTTCAGAGATCTATAGATACAAGAAGTTTTTTTAGATGTATATCTTGATTGGAATTGCTGAGTTATAGGATATATATGACCAGCTTCAGCTTTATTAGATGATGGTCAATTGTTGTCTGAAGTGGTTGTGCTAATTTACTCCCACTAGTAGTGCACATGAGTTCTTGTTTTATATCCTTGTCAACACTTGACATTATCATACTTTCAAAGTTTTTGCCAATCTGATGGATAGGAAGTGTCTTAGTTCATTTTGTGCTGATATGATAGAACACCACAGACTGGATTATTTATAATGAACAGAAACTTAGTAGTTCATAGGTTCTGGAAGCTGGGAAATCCAAGATTAAGGTGCCAGCAACTGGTAAACCTCCTTGCTACATCATCCCATGGCAAAGAGAGGGTGAGACGAGAGAGCAAGAGGGGGCCAAACTCCTTCTCTTGTAAGGAACCTACTCCCTTGATTATGAACCCATTCCCACAATAAGGACATTAATCTATTCATGAGGGTGGTGCCCCCATGAACCAAACACCTCCCATCAGGCCCTACCTCCCAATACTGCCATATTGGGAATCAGGCTTCCAGCACATGAACTTGTGGGGATACATTCAAGCCATAGCAGAAGGGCTATCTTCCTGTGGTTTTAATTTGCACTTCTCTAATTACCAGTGAGGTCAAGCATCTTTTAATATGTTTATTGACCATTTATACTTACTTTCTTGTCAGCTCATTAACACATTTAAAAAGATGTATTTTATCCAACATGCTTAGCAGTTTCTAGTGGATCCAGAGTATATAGTATGTGGAACTGCTAGAATGGAAGTCCAGATCTTCTTCTCTTTTTTCTTAGAGACAGAGTCTTGCTTTGTTGCCCAGGGTGGTCTCAAACTCCTGGGCTCAAACAATCCTCCTGTCTTGGCCTCACAAAGTGTTGGAATTACATGTGTGAGCCTCTATGCCTGTCATTTTTTTCTTATTTTAATTAGAGATGAAATCTTGCCATGTTTGTTGGGCTGGAATGCAGTGGCTCTTCACCAGTGTGATCATAATAGTGCACTACAGCCTTGCATTTCTGGGCTCAAGCAATCCTCCTGCCTCAGCCTCTTGACTAGCTGGGACTATAGGCATGTGTCACAGCACCCAGCCAAATCTTCTTTTAAAACTAGTTTTATTTTTTAAAATTTAAAATGTAATATACATTTAAAAGAACAACAAAATGAGAAGAAACTGAGGGAATTAATAACAATAAAAGCTGTAATTAATGAAATAAAAACCAAACTATTGGCAGAAAGAATAACAAAATCTAAATGCTGATTTTGGAAAAAGTCTAAGTGTAGATTTAAGCTTTAATAACCTCATAAGTACAAATGCTGTGGGGTTAAAAATCATTTGAAAGTTTAAATTTCCTTCACACTAAATTTAGTTTTGTGGATTTTTGAATAGTAAATATTTCATTTAAAATTTTTAATTTCAGTCACTATAAATCAATCAGGGTTCATCCTCTAAAAGCATAATCAGTAGGGTATGTATGTATATGTATCAAATTTATATATGTGATGTATGTGGATACACACATGCAATTCATTCCAAGGAATTTGCTATATGATTGTAGGGGCTGGCTAAGCAAGTTTGAAATTTGTTGGGTTGGCAGTCAAGATGGGAAGACCACATCAAAGGCAGGCTGGAACTCAACAGGCATGGGCCAAAGCTGTTGTCCACAGGCAGCCAGGAAAGGAAAGTCACAAGCAGGATGGAACTCCATAGGCACAGGCGGAAGCTGCGGTCCAAAGAAGGAATTTCTTCTCTTTTAGGGGGAAGCCTAAACCCTGGCTTTTAAGAACTTTAAAACTGCTTCAATCAGGCCCACCCAGATTATCCAGAATAATGTGCCTTTCTTAAATTCAACTGATTAAGGACTTTGATTACATTTGCAGAATACCTTCATAGCAACATCTAGATTATGTTTGATTGAATAACTGGGGACTGTGGCCTATCCAAGATGACACACAGTAAAAAGGCTATCACACTGATTGAAGATGGCAAAACTTGACCTTAAATTTACATGGGAGAACACTTGAGAATAGCCAAGAAAATTATGAGAAATAATGCAGTGAGGAGAGATCTGCCTACTAGATATCATAATAGAGCCATAAATTGATACAATATTGACTAGATTAGTGGATTAAGGAGAATCCAGAAATAGAGCCCAGGATATATTTGAGAATTTGAAACTAAAACCTAAATTAATTTAATGAGAAAAAGGATAGCTTATCTAATTAACAATGTTAATAAAACCAGCTGTCCATAAGGAAGGAAGGAAAGAAAAAATAGACCACCATCTTACATCATAAACAAAAGTAAAGTCTAGTTATATTACAGCAGGGATTCTCAACGGGGAGTGGTGCTGATTATCTGGGGATAGATGGCATTTATTGGGCAAGGAATGTCAAAGTCACTCCCATTAAGAAACACTATGTTAAAGATGTAAATCTATTACAAAATATCTTGTAATAAAATCTGGAAGACTGCACGTACATTCTAAGGGCAAGGAGGATCCTAACCAAGACTAAAACTTAAGAAGCTGTAAAAGCAAAGTAGAACAGGTTGGACTATATAGTATTTAAAATGTTTACATGACAAAAGATATCATAGAGTCAGTAGAAAAATGGCAGATATGGTAACGATATTTGCGTAGCAGAGGTGAAAAAGTTTCATATCTACTATACAAGGTGCTTTCACAGATGGACAGGAGAAATACAACTCAGTAGAATCTTGGGCAATGTATCCTAAGAGGTTTTCACGGAAGGGCAGATCCAGCTTGCTCTGTAAACAAACATGAAAAGTAATGCTCAAATTCGCTAGTAGTGGTCACGGAAATTAAAGTAACAAAGTCATAATCAAGCATCACTTTATTAGACTTTCAAAAATTAAAAAGAGAAGAACTTTTGTTGCTGTATTTCTGGACTTTCTGTATCTTTGTTTTTTTGTAGTTTATATTGTTGGGTTTTTTTTAACTTCTGTCGTGTTGTCTTTCAGTGGTATCTGCTCTTTTTATGTAGTTCCTCTACATGAGGCAGTATTGTATTGAAAAGAATGTGAGTTCTGCCTTTGATACTTATTGGTTGGATACATTTGCCCAAGGTCATAGAGGTGCAGCTTCACCAGCCGAAATGTGAAGGTTGACTCTAAGATGTCTCTCAGCCTTCTAGTTTGTGAAATAATTTTTGCATACTTCTTTTTAATAAAGTTTTCTTTCTCAGGAACGTTTGGATGAAGCAAATGCTGCATTGGATTCAGCATCAAGACTTACAGAACAGTTAGATGTAAAAGAAGAACAAATCGAAGAACTTAAAAAACAAAGTAGGTTTTTTTTTCTTTTCATTTTTCCCCCACTACAATACTGATATTAAGTCAAATGTAGTCTTCTGTCATAAATTGGCACAGTTGAGACCAACTTCACTGATGTGTGACTTCCATTTGTATCTTCCCTGACTGATTTGCTTCAATTTAAGTATGGTCCTAGTGAAACTAGAGTCATTAAGTTGGCCCTGGCTGTCCATTTAGTTTTCCTGGATGTTGAGGCAATGCCATTGCGTTGACTGTCACCCTGTTGACCATCAGAGGGGTTGATTGGACTGATTGGACTTTTTGTGGATATGATTTCTCCCTTTATCAGTTCACATGCATCTTACCTAAAGCCGTCTGATCTGTTAGGGAAGGCAGAATTCTCAAATAAAAGAGTAACTTTCTGTGGAATGAACGTCTGGGTATAGCTAGATTTTTATGATTGTAGATGGTGTTTTACCACAGGCACATCATGTATTTTTTGATGTTTATAAAGTGTATCATATGCCCTGTCCATTCCCTAAGGTATGTCCTATGCTTAGGATTATTAATTGGTTCAATGATCAGGTGGCTTACAGGGCTTTGTTGAATCCAACAGCTGACAAAGATGGCATATCCTCATTTCATCTCTGATTTAGAGGCAACCAGGAAGTCAAAACTATTCTAGGGCTGCATTTAGTAGGTAATGATTCAAGGTTATTGGAAAGGTGATAATGGAGCCTAGAAATGCATCAACATTAGATATCTAGGTTAGGCACAATAGTAATAAGGCATGTAATTAATAAATACCACCTAACATGAAATTAGAAATAAGCAAAAATAGGAGATGGTACAGCAGAGGAACTGTGAACAACAGAAGCAGTGACTTAGGCACTAGGGAGGCAAGCCAGCAGGAACCACTGACGCATGGACACCAAAGGACAAGCCAAAGTAAGCTGGCCTAAATCCAGTAGGAGACAGGAGAGGGGAGATTTTTAGGAATACAAAGAAAAAAAGACAGATGTGAAGGAATTTTCCTCAAAATGACTTGAGTCTGAGGCAAGTTACTGCCCAACCAAAAGTCTTCTACCTTGTAAGATTGGCCAGGCTAGGATCTCTAAATCTAGTAGAGGGCCTGGAAATGGGCAGCAAGGAGACAATTATACATTGAGTGTCTATTATGGACATTTGACATAACATTTATGTGTTTAGTCTTCTCATCATTTACTTCTTATAAGCATCTCTAAAATAGGTGGTATTACTTCCATTTTATGGATTAAAGAGGCAAGATTTGAACTCCGATCTTTTTACCTATTACCATAGTTCATGGTCTTTCCATGTTATTGTAGTTCTGTCAGGAAAATGGTTATTTATAGTCTGACTTGTATTTTGTTCTGTATATCTCCAATTTCCCCTGAAAATATGGTAGCATCTTCTGTATTGTGTCCTAATGTTGAAATGGTTGCCTTTACCAAGAGCAGTATTTATTTAGAAAACAGTCTAGTTAGATTGAAGGCCAGTGCAACTACAGCATTATCTAGAAGACATATGGGCAACTGAGAGGAGACACACTGGGAATTGATAATCTTCGGGTTGGGCTAGACTGATGGAGATGAAACAGCAGTGTTGTGAATCAGCTTATTGCTTTGTGACAGCTCAGTGCTATATGTTATGCTATTATAATATCTAAGGCCGCATCCTCTTTTAGACACCTACCTGAGTAATTCCCAATAGTTGATGGTAAATTTAAAATTCTGTGATTTATTGTAGTTAATAAATATTATCAGAGTTCTTGAAATACAGATTGAGCATCCCTAATCCAAAGTCTGAAATGCTCCAAAGTCTAAAACTTTTTGAATGCTGACATGATGCTCAAAAGAAATGCTTATTGGAGCACTTTGGATTTTGGATTTTTGGATTAGGGATGCTCAGCCGGTAGTACTATAATGTAGATATTCCAAAGTCTGAAAAATCCAAAAACTGAAACATTTCTGGTTCCAGGCATTTTGGGTAAGGGATACTCAATCTGTATTTAGTGCTTGTTCAGGCGCTCATTTAAGCCCTCACTAGTAGAATATTTTCAGATGTTCTTGATTATAGATGATAAGGCTTAGGTGGCCTAGGTTCCTATTCGTATAAAAAATACTAATATTCATTGTAAATGTATATGAACTTTGGACTTATTTTGTGGAATAAGTATTAGCTACAGAGAAAGCTCTGATTATGCTTGTATAACTGGTATTTGAAAGGGCAGGCAGGAGGCCAGTGTTGCACAGACAGGAAGGGGTGTAAAGAGACAGTTGGTTCTGTTATGTCTCTAAGTCATTCTTGCCATTTACAGCTCTTCTTAACAATCTGTTTTCTTGTATTACCTAAGTGCTTTAATATCACTTTTATATCTCTAAATACAAATGCAATTTTATTTTCTCAAAGCTGCACTCTTGATTCGATAATATAAACAAAACTTTTATTGGCTCACTTGTTTCAAAAGAATCACTGTATATTTTCTCTCCTAGATCATTAAGTACTTTAAATGTTGATTGATGTTGTAATACTGTACTTTATTTTTAACACAAAACTTGGCCAGACAGCAAAAGTATTTGCCAGGAGAAACAATTTTGAAAAAGACAGATTGCCTTTTGTTGGAAGAAAGTACATGGAGACTTGAATTGTAAAGAAGAAGTATTGTTTTACTTCTAAGCATCTGTAGACTAATGATTAGTTGATACACAGTTTCAGCATTTAAATAATATTAAGAATAGGAAGCTCACTTTTAAAAGTATTTTATTCAAAATGGTTGATTATGTCATTGCTACCAGAGATGAGATGATTCAGTCTGGTCAAACACATGAAGAAGAGAGCTGTTGCAAATAACACCAATATTGAAACAGTAGACTGTTGGTAATTTCAGTCATTTCTTAAGAGTATGTATGTGCATCTGTGGTTATGAATTAAGAGTATTTTTGGGCCTTGTGTGAAAAGTATGAAGACAGATGCTTATCAGGCAGTAAGTATTTAATGAGAACCAACTGCTTGGCTTCCCATTAGGTGCTGTATGAGATACTAGATAGTATCCCTTTTCCAAGGAGTTTAGCTAAGGAAATGACACATAGTGTAGATACCCCGCAGGTTAGTAATTGAAGACAGTGGTGCACAACAGTGATCATAAGACAGGGCACATTTAGTTCCTCCAGAATCCCATTAAGGATCAGGCAGCATTCCATGGAGAAAAGGAACTTGAGTAGAGACATAAACCAGTAGTAGGGAACTGTTTAAATCTTTCTCCCTGTCTCCCTCCCCGTCTATCCCTCTTCCCGGGAAAGTAACGAAGAAAATAAATCCCACGATCCTAAGAGTACTATAGTTTAGTAGATAGTGTTGGCTGGTAAAAGATTTACTGCTATCCTTCCTTTTAAAAATTATTCTTTCAGCATTTTACCTGAAAGTGTTCTTCAATACAGTTCCAAAGACTTCACATGCCATCCCATATCCAAACTCAATACAGTGGCCTATGAAGCACATATGACAGTGGTTTTCATTAACTGCTCTGAGCTGATCAGAGTTCAGAATTTCCATGGAATTGTTATTGATGAGAAAATACACACCTGTGACTGAACCATTAAAATGTGTTATCTTGCTATATTTATGGCCAAATTTGACATTTTCCTTTCCTTCTTGTTCTCTAACATCATCCTTGACATAAATTCCTGCTTAAATGAAAATGATTTGGCCGGGCATGGTGGCTCACACCTGTAAATCCCAGCACTTTGGGAGGCCGAGGTGGGTGGATCACCTGAGATCAGGAGTTTGAGACCAGCCTGGCCAACATGGTGAAACCCCGTCTCTACTAAAAATACAAAAATTAGCCAGGCATGGTGGCTCATGCCTGTAGTCCCAGCTTCTTGGGAGGCTGAGCCACAAGAATTGCCTGAACCCAGGAGGTAGAGGTTGCAGTGAGTCGAGATCACACCACTGCACTGCAGCCTGGGCAACAGAGTGAAACTCAGTCTCAAAAAAAAAAAAGAAAAAGAAAATGATTGGATAAATTGAAATAGAAAGCACAAGATATTGTTATTTTGATAACTATGATTCAGAAAGGTGGTGAATTTTATGTTGTGCAAAGAAAAGTGAGTTTTCATAAGCAATGCAAATTTAGTTCTAACATCAGGAAGATCTTTTGGTCTGTCTGCTCGTTTATACCTGTATCTGAAAGGGCAGCATAACTGATTTTTTTTTAAGAAGGTTGAATGACTACTTTTAAAAGTCTCCTGTGAGTTGAGGATGGAAAATTTCCTTAGACCGGTTTTTAAAAGAAAATCTAGAAGAATGTATAAAATGAGTCCCAGTAAAACTTACTGTAATATGAAGCATGAAAACATGTTTTAAAACTACAGATATAAAAGAAGCTTAAAATGTTTTCCATGGAACTACCTTTACGGTGCTGGATGGTAAAGCTTTTATTTTAAATAAAGACATTCCGTTTTCCAGGACATGATTTATACAAGAAAACATATAATGTCCTGTTGAACATAGGCCAAATACATTCCCAGACGCTTTGTTACCCAAACGTTTTGAGGGATTTCTTTATAGATGTTTTTGGCAGAAGTGGTGATTTTAGAGGAAACATATAAGAAGTACCAGATGCAGTTTTCTGAATTGCCATAAATGGTTAAAAAATTATTTTGATGATATAAACATCTGGGTATACTAGACAATGCCAAATTATGAGTTAAGAAAAAAGTGTATGTCAATTAGGTAAATAATTAAACCTTTTTCAACTGAACTATATTTTAGAAATTGCAGTTTAAAAAAAATTCCTCTAAGTTTAAAGGGAAAAGTAAATGATATAGCAATAAGAATGTTTTGAGTTATGTGTTTTGTGTCCTTGCCCTTATTTATGTATGGATGAGTATATAATTCAGAACATAACTTATTCTTTTTGTCCAGTGTTCTGTTCTTTGCAGATATTCTCTTTTCCCAGAGAAAATCATTATTTGACTTATTTATCAAATATTGTTTATTTGCCGTATGCTAAG